AGGCTGCAGGCTGACTGGTCACCTCCTGGGTTTTTGGGTTGCAAGGTGTTTGAACATGACACCGAAACTCTCTGCTGGTCCCTTGTCCTTGTTTGACACTTCATGATCCACCTGATTTTCAGATCTAATCTGCAAAATATAATTTCATACCTCTGATATTAACAGCACCTTTGAGCAGCCTGGTCTAGTGGAAGGTATCCCTACCCATGGGAGGGGTTTGGAACTGAATGAGCTTTAAGATCCCTTCCAACCCAAACCAGTCTGTGATTTTATGATTCTTTCTTGACCACTTGCATTATTTCTTATTAAATGTATTATTTATAAGTCCTAAGGCAACAAATACAAGTTAATGCAATTTAAATAAATATAATAATCTGACTATAAGTTTCTGTTTCATGATAGAAGTAGTATTTGTCCATATAGTGAAGGAGAATGTGCTAGCCTTAGGCAAAAAAAACCCATGTGAATCCAATTTGTCATGCATATTCAGTATTTTCCAGAAAGCTCTTCCAACTTTCCCCTGTGCTGTGGCCCTGAAAAGAGCAGCAAGTGGTTAGAGCAGCAGACTACAAGTTAAAATCAGACAAATTATCCTATAATGAACCTTCTGAATAGCACATGTGTCAGCATTCCTCCCAGTAGCATCTTCTCTAGAATACTTTTTCCTATGTAGGGCATAATGAGGCATAACTGACATTGAAACTACCTGGTTATACTGATGGTTGTTGTAAAATTTCACTTCCAGTTCAACTTGGAAGTGCCTTTGAGTGAACATGGGACTTGTGGCTGTCACTCCTGGCGCTCTGATTCAGGCACAGCAATGAGGTGTGGTAGAGTGGTATTGTCTGTCCTTTGGGGCTGAAAAAGAGTGCTTTGAATATTAGGGCTTAGATAAAAGAAAGACATTGAGTAAAAAAGGGGGATTGGGAGAAAGCAACCCTTATTACTTGACATTTCTGTTTGCAGTTGGATTGGGTTCACTCAGCCATCACCTGATTCCTGCATTTGGTGTTCAGTCCTAACTTGTCCACACTTGTTGGTGGTTTTTCCTTCTTTCCTCAGACCTTATTTCAGTCATGGCAAATGACTAGGCAGGAGCACAGGGGATTTTAATGCTAGTATGTTGGTAAAGTGCACTCCAGTTGTCTTTCCTGCTGTTGGAGTTCAGCTGCTGACATGTTCAGTATTTATCTTGACTGTTGTGGGCAAGCTCAAAAATCATGCCTTTCTTATCAGTAAGCAGAACACGGGGACCCTGGTCTTGCTGCAGTTCTATTTGTTTATAACCCTTCAACAGAGTTCATGGTTTCTGTAAGGTTAATACAGAAACTAACAGATTTGAGTCAAGCCTTCCATAGCCACAGCAGCATGACTGATATTTCTCCATGGCTAGAGTACTTCATGTATGAAGCTCAGCTTTTACTTCCCCAGGCTGGCATTTAGTTGTTTTTTAGGTTGAGTTCTCAGCTTCTCCTTATGCATTTGTCAAGAACTTCTGTACCTAAAAAAAAACAAACCCAAGCCAAATCCTGACCTATTTAATCTGTCTTTGGAGGAACTAGATTATCACATGATCCTTGGAAACTATAGTAAGGATGTATGGATTTATTGCTTTGTTCTGAATATATATATATATAGCTATGTAAGTAGTTTGGAGCATTCCATCCTCTTAGTTGTACTAACAAGGTATTTACTAATAAAAGTAAAGAGGATGTGGACAAAAAAAAGGATGGCCTGGAAGCTGTGTGTGTTGGGAACTCAGCTTTTGTATGTAGCATGTATTCTCAACAGTATTGCAACCCACTGCTTACCAGTGTTACCTGTGGACTTGGAACTTCTGCACAAGCGTGCTGGGGGCTGCCAGGAGGGATAGGAGCACATCAGGATGGGAGCTGGAGAGGTACAGTGGTAGGTTGGAATATTCATAAAGGTTTCTACTACCCAGCTATTTTAGGCTAATAACTTTAATCTTAAATAATGAAGCACTCCTTCTGTTTAATAACAGCATGAAATAATTTTATGCTGGTACATTCTCCCAGGGTTTATTTTTAAAAGCTTTTATTTGCATGGGAAAGCGTATCTGCGGGCAATATCCCTACTCCTGTATGATTTGTTCCATATTGTAATGTAACTGTTAGCTATTGCATATATACATGAGAAATACTACAGCAAAAATGAAGATGTAAGCAAATTTAGAAAGATAAAGTTAGGATGGGGTGGGTTTGTTTGTTTCCTTTGGCACTGGCTTTAAAAGACACTGTGGCTGCTAGGACAGTTAAGATAATGGGTGGGATTTTCATGGTTAATATGTTAGTGATCACAAGTACTCCAGTTGTTTCGTTAAGAACTTCCTTGTAGATTTATTCCAGTGGGATATTCAGTTCTTTAATACTAAACTTCCTGGAAGTCTAGTTGGAATGAGGTAATTGTTTTATGAAGTTGTGGTCATCCTGTTTCTTAAACTTGGTGTGCATCAGTTAGAGACTTGAGTATTTTTCCATAATAAACTGTTGAATTTGTCTTAGATGTAGCATGACAGGGAGCATGGAAACTGTCAATTTGCAGGCCTTTGTGATTTATTGATTTACTGATTTGTGTGTATGTGAAGGCTTTTTCCCTGCTGTTTGGTGGAAATTCCAGACAAGTAGAGAAAACTGCAGTGTGAAAGAAGAAATTAAATGAATGCAAATGCTACTTAGATGCATGAAGAAATGTATGAAAACATGAAACTAAGTGGTAGGTAATTAAATGTGTGCTTTTGCCTCTATATCTGTACAAAACTCATAGTGTCTGTGGTCCAGTATGAATACAAGCAGTTTTTACAAGCATTTCTCACTGGAAAAAAGGTTTATTGCCTGTAGGGATGTAATAGAAAATATTTGTGACTCTGATGGATGTTTTTCTGTGACCTTTACATGAATCACTTGCTAAGGGTTAAATAAATAAATAAATAAATATGCCTTAATCCTTTCCCCTGAAGTGGGTAGCAATTGTCCAGGCAGAGCCAGCCATGGTCCTGTGAGGCTCTGCTGCCTTCTGTGAAACGTAGCTCAGATGCTGAGTGAGGTGGGGTAGGGGACTGCAGGGGCTGTGTATCCAAGTGATGAGAAAGCAAAACCTGTTCTACTGTGTGTAGGTCTCCTTTCTTGGTGTTGTTAATAGTTGTCATAGCATATCATAGGTTTTGGGTGTTTTGGGGATATGGAGCTGAGCAAAGAAAGGCTTCGGGGAGTAGAAAACTTAAATAATTGGAGGCTACATGGTGCACGTAAGGAGGAGTTGGAAGTGACAATATCAAACATTAGCGTGTTTATGTAATGTTGCTACATTTCTACATTTTCTGAAAATACTCAACTTCTCAATCACACTAACATCTGTATTTTAAATCCTACAAAAAGAAAAGGGAAAGGGGTGGAAGTGGCTTATGAGGGAAGGAGATCAATTTGTAGCCTTCCAAGGTAAGAGTATGGTCCAGGGAAGAGCTGCACTGAGCTACAAGATTCCTGAACCCTCACAAAGCTGTAATATGCTTGTAAGACCAAAAGCCATAAGCTGATGGAATGGAGTTTTAGGTTAGACATCAAGCAAGGAGTTCGTTAGTGTGAGGGTGCTGAGGCCCTGGCATGTGTTGCCCAGAGAAGCTGTGGCTGCCCCATCCGTCCAGGTTGGACATGGCTTAGGGCAACCTCTCTAGTGGAAGGTGTCCCTGCCCATGGCAGTGGGTTGGAATTGGATGATCTTAAAGGTCCCTTCCAACCCAAACTATTACATCCTTTTATGAAGTGTAGCACATAGAGGAAGCTGGTGGTGGTGGGGAACATCACCAAGGATTTGTTCTTGCAATAGCAGGGAATTTCTTAGGTGAAACTTCTAGTGGTTCCTAACAAGCAGAGGGAGATTAACCTGAATGTGCTCGCTGTCCATGCCCAACAAAATGGGAAATCCCTGCTGAACTGAAAGCTGTCCTAATGCATAAAGTTTATAGGTTTTGTTTCTTAAAATGCGGTGACTGTGGCTGTGCTGTTTGGGCACCCTGACAGCAGGAGGAGCAGGCAATAGCTTTTCTGTGGGAGGGGGGAGGTCCCAGTACCATGTGTACTTTGCTCAGGACTTTGGCAAGGTTGGGCTGTGAAGGGGCGTTCAACTGATTGCAAATGAGCGCTGGGGAGAGCGGGCAAGTAAGTAGGAAGCTGAAAATCCTGTGGGTTCAGAATCTGCAGGGCCTTTTCTGGCTTCACTTTCTGGGTTGGAAAACGGAATTAGTGGGCATGCTGAAACAAGTTTCCCTTGTCCTGCCTGCTCCTCTGCCGGGACACCTTCCTCCTCCCCAGGCCTGTCAGTGTCTGCAGGCTCCTGCCATGGAGATAGAAGTGTTTCCTGACCTAGGACTTACTAAATCATCATCAGGAAGACAGCACGAAACTGGGACCCAAGTCCAGGCTCAGCTGGATTGTCTCAGCAGGAGTTTTCACTTGGAGTGACAGTCATAACAGACTTAAAGCTCAGTTCAGGCTTCTTTTACAATGTCCTCAATATGTCCTTTTCCCAAAAGGTGGTTGCTTTTCATGTGTGGCTGTATTTCCGTGTTTGGGGGATTATTTTGGGGCTGGGTAGGAGGAAATCGAAGAAAATGCTGACTTTGAACAAATATAACAACTTTGGTGCTTTAAACTTGCAAAAAAAAAATAATGCTTTTCTTGCTTCTCTTCTTAGGGTGTGCTTTACAAAAACATTGCATGTCTTAATGCAGAAAGAAACAAAGCTATAAAAGCTTTACTGAAGCTTACCTTAATTTGACTCTCAAACACCTTGCTGTATTGCTTTGTGCAGACTAAAACCCTTTTGACTTGCAAATCTCTTGCCACTATGAATTAAGTCTTGTATTATGCAAATCTCCCTTTCAGTTATCCTTTTTTTATACCTTGATTTTGAATCTTTCCTTTAGATCATGGCTTGCATGACATTTTCTTTCTTTTCCTTTCTTTTGGCTGTTTGCAAAGACTCTTGGGAGGATTTGACAGATGTGGTGGAGCAATTGCGTGATGATACTGAAGGTGCGTGCCACGCCAACGTCTTTCAGATATTATTTCCACTAATGATTGGCTTTTGCCTTATGATTTTGAGTCTGAGTGCAATGTACAGTTTGCCGGTGCCAATGGCTGGGGCTTTCTGAACGTGCTTGTCTGGTTGAACCAGGTTCCCAGGCAGAACGTGCTGTACTAGTTGCACTCTGTGTGGATGGTTGGTTTCTGCTGTTAGAGTATTAAACAAAATGCCTTTGATTGCTCAAGTCTATGCATTGCTCTTGAAATTGTCTCAATTTACATTTAAAATGGATATTGTGAAAGCTTTTCGTACTTTTATCAGCCCTTTCATGGGTTCCATGTGATCAGTTTTGGCTGCTAAATTCTTATTGATCTCTCTTTTGAAAATATGTGCATATAATATTGCTTAAAAATATGTTTCAGAAATGTTGGGGTATTGTGACTTCAAGTAGAGGTAAAAAAAGTGATTCAACAAGGGGCTAATTTACTTATATCAAATGCTTTCTAAGGCAATGATTTTTCTGATCCTGATATAAACAACTTAGAAGGTTGCAGCAATATATGGAAGCTAAATTGTAAAAAGATATTTCAGAAATCACCCCAAAGCTTTAGATTTTCTGAAATATTTCTGTTGATCAACTCCAGACTTTGCAACAGTGACTCTGAAACTTGGAATTGTGAATTTGGATTAAAACTTGTCAAGTACTCAGATTATTTTTCGGTAGTGCTTCTTGTTTCATAAAAATGGTGAAACCCCCCCCCCCCAATTTCATGAAACAGCTGAATCTCCAATTCAGCATTCACTCAAGTAAATTTGTTATCTGGTGACAAGATAATACTGTTCCCACCTGGAATGGAAGTGTTTGCAGCACAAAAGGCTAATACACCTTTGAGAGGCAAAGGACTTCTTTTGTGGCTGGAAAGTTTAAGTGCTCATCACTAGGAAGAGCATAGATAAGTGTGTAAAAGGATGGTTAGGGTATTTATACAGGCCAAATGATTTAAAATGGCAGTCTCAAATTAGAAGCTAAAAATAGTGTTGATGTCTTGAAGATTTATGAGCAGAAGTACTGTTAATCTCACACTGATAATCCTAAAGGAGTAAAGTCAGCCAGTGCAATTCAGTTTTTTGCCAGTTTCTGCATGGAGTGTTTTCAGAGGTGTTGTGGATTGCATATCCCATGGTGTCACTCTTCTTACCAGTGTTTTACTCAGTTTGATCTAATTCTCACTGGTAGGATGATAACCAAAAGATGCATTTGTTTCTTTATAGCACAGATAAACAGTTTAAACATGAGACATGAAAAAGCCAAATAGTGAAATGGAGTAGGTTTATGTTATAGATTCAGGGTTATAAACAGAGGGTAAAGTATGAGCAACACCATGAAGGATGCATCTGTCTTAAAATATGTAGTTGTGATTACTACTAGAATGGTAACTAAAAGAAGGTAATGCAGCTAGGTTTGGGGCTTACTTAAGAAAAAAGCAAAATCAATCATGGCAAAGCAAAATTTGTTTATATTTGGAAACTTGGATGGTTTAGATCTTTTTCAAGAGGATGTGCTGTGCACAAAAATTAGTTTTGATGCATTAACTGCATCTTTGGCTGATCATATTCTGTGAATGGTGCCTGTCTTAACCGTTGTGCTTAGTTAAATGCCTGGGCTTCTGCCTGGTGGCTTGGTAAACACAGCAGGCTTCTCAACAGAGCTACGACACTTGGAGATGTTCTTTCCTGGCACAACAGCTAATTCCCAGCACCCCCAGCACCTCCAGTACAAGGTACCTCCAAGGCAGTCTTTACGTGGGGGGGGGGGAAGGTTTGAGACTTTTTTCTTTTTTCCGTTAAGTTATTGTGCAGTTACTTTGTATTTATTTTGCTGGGGAGGGGTGGGGGAATATGTTTGAAATGTGTGTCTTGGCTGTTTGCACTTCTGTCTTTATTTTCCATGACCACTCTGTTTTTTTGAAACCCCTGCACACTGGTGTGTATGGGAAACTGTCCTCCTTGATGACTGATCAGGGACTGGTAGATGCTTGATGTAGGATGGGATTTCCCCCTCAAAAGTTAACAGTAACAACATAATTGCAAGGACAGATGAAGCAGTAGCGAGGCCCTGGCACAGGTTGTCCAGAGAAGCTGTGGCTGCCCCATCCTTGGCAGTGTTCAAGGCCAGGTTGAATGGGGCTTGGAGCAACCTGCTCTAGTGGAAGGTGTCCCTGCCCGTGGCAGGGCATTGGAACTGGATGAGCTTCAAGGTCCCTTCCAACCCAAACTATTCTATGGTATGATTCTATGAAAATGCATCTTCTCTTAAGGAAATGAAATTTCATTTTGGTAAGATGTTAGTCCCACTGCTTTCTTCTTTAGTGACAGTCCCTCAGAGTAGACAGGTAGAATTCTGAATATAAAAGCAAAACATTTGTAGACTCAAACATACTTGTATAGAAACAGATATGTTTCTGCCTTTCACTTGTGAATAGTCATGTCAGTTTTTATTTTTATCACCCTTTAAGAGAATGTTTGCATGACACACAGGACGCCCATCGCCCCATCCTTTAGGTGGTAATTGGGGGCTTGCATTGCTGGAAGGCAAATGAAGTGTTTTGATCTGAGGGAATGTCAGGAAATAGAAGGAGCTTAAAAGACATATAATGATGTTGAACTCCAGTTTAAATGATGACGGTCCTTAATTTATCTAGGGATTTGCTTTCCACATTTATTTGAAATTGTACATGTGTTCATGATTTCGTAGTCTGAGCAGCTGGAACTAATGTCTTTGCTGATGTGAATTGGCTTAACTGAAACTTGGTGCTCTGTAGATAGTCTGGTTTGTTTTGAAAGCAAGTCTTTGTCTATTAACATCTCTCAGTTAATCTGAAAACAGGATGAACAGCTTGCAGGATGTCATTTCTCTTTCACAGGCAGAAGCAGCCTTTCTAAATTTCACATGGCTTTTTCTTGATTGAGGATGGATTCAGTACATGGAGCACCTTGCTCGAATACTAGTTCACTGGCATTACTTTGAGCAGGTTTGTTCACATCTGCAGTGTTTCATGACTTTCAGCATTTGATCAAAGTTCTGGTTTTATTCTAGTTTTTTTAATACTTTTAGATAATTTAATGACAAATTATTGTGAGCAGGTGAGAAGTACTTAGACTACAGCTGCAGCTGAACCCTTTGAGATCTGGCTTTGCATTGACTTTTTCCTTGAGTGTCAGGTTCCTAAGTATTTTAGAAACCCAAGGCTTTAGTGTTTTAAGGAAATAGGTGAGCTGGTTGGTTTACCCTGTCATTTTGGTGGGATGCAAGTCCAGTTCAGTCATGATCATTTATATCCCACGTGGTTAGGAAAAAATTCTGTTCTGTAGAAGCTACAATATCTAAATAGCAAAGTGTCTTGAGAATTTAAGATTCTCAAAGCCAAACCACATTGACAGGCAAAGTTTAAGGGCCAAGATTTTACTTTTTAATGTTTTACAAATATAGCATGTATAATAAAACACAGGCAGAGGTTTTGCAGTTGAAGGCAGCAAGAGATAGTTGGGGAAGATCCTGACACAGATTCTCAATTGCACATCAGGGTCAGACTTGTCAAAGCAAAAAGTGTCTGGTTGAGTTAAAGTTCTTTAGGTAGTGTTATTGTGTAAAAGTCATCTTTGCTTACTGCTTTAAAGCTGTATATGTTGCAATGCACATAACAATGGTATAAATTAGGATTTAATTTTTGGAATAAATCTTTGTGATTTTATCTTGTTTCATGCTATATAACAGTTATTTGGTTTGTGAGATGAGTCTTGGATGAGCTGCATATGCAGAGCACCATTGTTCACGGCAGACTAATGAAGTAGAAATCTTTAATTAGTGAATGTAATGATTCTTTAGACTGTGATTGCACATTTTAGTCTTAAATGAAAGCATAGCCCGATGTTTTATGCAGCAGTCACTGACCTTTCAGACTCAGGGAAAGCCATGTGCCTTACCTTTAAAAGCATGCCTTTGACGTCAGTGTAGGTCTGTGTGAGGCAGCAGCTCTCCATACTCTTAAGAAATGTGTATGGTTTCCTGTGAGTATGTAATGGAGCAGGACACTGATCCTGAGCAGTATCCTTGGACTCTGCCATAATTCAGATTAGTTAATAACTGGAGCCAAAGTAATATTTCTAAACAAGCAGAGCATTATTTTATGACAGTATTTGTCTGCAATAGAAACAAATGCCACAGTTATGTTCATGCACTCTTAAAGGACAGCTGTGATAGATGCTGTTGGAGGTGTTTGTCATTAGTTTTATCCAGAAGTACACAAAAGAGTGTTTTAATTGCATGTACAATTAATAATAGTTAATGGTTTTTGCAAATACTACATCTGACTTGCTTTTCCTGAGTCTGTGTTCCTGGTAATGGTGACTGTTAGCCTTGCTGGAAATCGTAATATGAATTGCAAATCATAGAACAAGTGATCTGCTTAATGTACGTCTCAGATCTGTTGGCTTAAAATAGTAGTAGTTCTGCAAAGGCAATAAAAATCACCCTCTAAATGAAATCTTTCTGCAGTCTAGTGCTTCTATGAGAATTTCATTCTTAAATGAGTACTTTGAAGCTTCCTAAGCGATGAAAATAAATTGGAATTGCCTAATCTCAACCTTTTTATAAGATGTGAGCCGAGGCAATCAGTGCTTGAAGAGCGTAGTGCTAGTAGAACAAAACTCTTGGGGGGTTCTGATCACTTTATCCCTCAGCAATGGAAGATTGGATGGCGATACAGGAACAACTGGACTTATTTGCCAGTTCCCTGGACAAGGAGGTGTTTGTCCATGGCAGCAGGTTTGTCCTGGCACACAGCTAGACTTGGGGCTGTCAACTGGTGGCAATTCCAGCTGGCATTGCTTAGTGCCATGTGTACTTTCCCTTTCTCCAACAAACATCTCTGCTTAGTGCAGTTCTAATGGAATTTAGAGCAGGAAACTTCAGGTCCTGCCTTATCCTGGAGAAGAATGGGGTCCATCTCACCTCTACACTATGCATTTCTTCACAGATCTCAGCTTCAGTGATGTGGACACAGGTGTTAGTGCTGTTGCCACAGTGCTTGGTCTGAGTATTTTTCCAAGTCATCATCAGCATCCCCAGTAAAACAGTCTGCCCTCTGGCTGACAGGCCACCCAAAAAACTAAGTGGCAATAATGAGCCCTTGCCTGCTGTGGAGCTGTGGGTACCCGACCATGCTTCAAAGGCAGATTCAGCACGTCCCCCGTTGTTCCAAGGTTTCACAAATGCTGTCTTTCCATTCCCTTTCAGAATTTATCAGGTTCTTTGAGGATGTTTGCATTTCCACTTCAGTAGTTGTTCCTTGTCTCCCAACCCTGAGGTGCCTTTCAGTGTCTCCTTCTGTCTGGCGTAAGCAGTGTCAGTCTAGTTGCTCTTCTTGCCTGTTTTGGATTCAGCCATAGGTTACTGAAATCAAAATGTTACTCCTATCAGTTACAGGTTGCCAGGCCTACAGTGCTTTTCAACCTGCAGGAGATAGTGAAGGTTGGAGGTGGGAACAATGTGAATTTTCATGGTTCTATGAAGTGTTGCTCCTTGCTCTCCTTATGGCTAATGGGTGCTGCAGAGATTACTCACATGGCACTAGGTTTGAGAGGATGAGAAGTTTGTGTTTCAGCAGCTGGACTTAGTAGCAGCATCATGATGAAGTAGAATGATGACTTCCATCATCAGGACAAGTCCTGTAGGTGTCTGCAGTAGTCTTAGGAGAATATACGCCTTGGCCTCTTCTGCCTAGGTTGTTGCTTTTAGAATTGCAAGCTACAGTTCTTCACAGTTGTATTGACAAGAGGATGAGAAATACTAACAATCCACATGGCTCAGGTCTACCTGCCTAGTAGAGATTTGATGTATACTCTGTGGCAAACCTGCTGGAAGCAACCCCAAACTTCTCCAAGACTCCCCCTAGGGAATTGTATCTAGTTCTTAGGTCTCCAATGTTTATTTGCTTTACTTGTTTGCTACATGCAAGCATACTTTGTCAGTTCAGCAGATAAAAAGTGTACCCTGTGCTTAGATACGTAGTCTCAGATGTCCTCTGGTCATGTTTTTTGCTGGCAGGTGTGGTAAATTCACACTCATGAAGGTGGCAAGTTGGCTTAAGGGTCCATGTCTGGTTACAGAATAAACGTACCTTACAGGAGAAGCTGCTTGCACTGAAGAGTTTCAGTGCAAAAATTGGTTGTACAATTATCAGGGAAAAGATAGAAACAGAAAACTTAACTGATGCAACATCATTTTAGGAACCAGGGGACAGCACTGTTGTAAATTAGTATCTTTCTTGAGGTGTTGGAAATGCACTGATGGTGGTTGGGAAGAGAGGATAGGTGTTGGTATGAGTATGCTGTACAAGTTCTGGAGCAGGAGGTCTGAAGGCCTGGAGTGGATTGGAAAATGGATGTCTATATTTATTTCATGTAACGAAAAGCAACTAGCAAGTATGAAGTTCTAAATATTTGTAATGTGGTAAAGGAAGAATATAGTCTTAGAGGATCTGTCTTTGTTGGGACATAGAGTGAGCTGGCAGAGGAGCCATGAAGATCAGATCCTAATTGTCAGGGGTAAAACTCAGTACTCTTGATAAAATGAAGAGAGAGAGGAGGGCATTGGCTCCATTTTACATCCAAGTTGGAAAAAAGAAATAATGAGAAGGAAAGATGCAACACTGGGTAAAGACACATTACTGGATAAAGTGTAAATTGATTAATAGTTACCTTTAGGTGGAAGAACAAATTAACAAGTTGCAAATTCTTACGAGTTTGTAGTTGTTGGATGTAGCTGGGGATATGAGTTGGAACAAGTGGTAGGCATAACATGCAGTAACGTGTCATCAAGACGTAAAGCACAATATTAACAGCAGCCTTCAAGCTTTTCTGTCTTGAAAATGTAAAGCTTTGGTAGTTATTTGAAGTATTGAGGCATCCTTAATGTGGTATATTGCCTATTTCCATGTCCTTGTGGCTTTGGCCAAAAAATGCTAGTGAATTTTGGTTTTTTTTCTACAAAAGACCTGAAGAAAGTGCCTCATGTGAAACTCTCACTCCCCCTAAAAATGTCTTCAAAATTGAGGAACAGAAAGAGAGAGATGGGATATGTTATTGTATTAAAAATGGCTTTTGTTACTTGACAGTATTTTTCTTCTATATATTTTTTTAATAGATCCTAATTATCTCATGGCGAATGAACGCATGAACCTGATGAACATGGCGAAACTGAGTATCAAGGGGTTGATCGAATCAGCGCTTAATCTGGGAAGGACACTGGACTCTGACTACGCACCTCTCCAGCAGTTTTTCGTTGTGATGGAACATTGCCTTAAACATGGCCTGAAAGGTAAGATGCTTGAGAGGAGTCCTCCAGGGTGTTTGTCAGAGCGTAGGAGTGAGCAAGAGAAATCTTCTTCTAAAATCTAATTTTGGAATCTGCAGTGGGCTAAAGAGGGGTGGACCAGGGTCACCTCTGTGGTCACAGTTGACTTGTGAGGCCAGAGGAAGGGAGAAAAATCCCCCCAAAGTATAACACTGCAGGTGAAAAGTTCACAGATGTTGCTGGAGCTTGCTATTTTTAAACCAGATTTTCTGGTGATTTGAGTACAGCTAATTATCAGTGATAAAATTAGCTCCTCAGCAACCTCATGATTCCCTTTTTGTCTGTGGAGAAGGAGTAGCTTCCAAGTGGTAGTGTGGTCCTCCTCTCTGTAAGGTGATGGTCAGTGAGAGAAAATGACTGTGCATACATCAGGTGTAATGTAGAGAGAGTGACAGCATCCTAGTAGAAATTCTGACCTCTAGCAGTGCATCTGAGTTGCTGGGTTTCACTGGATGTTGTTGTTTTGGCATGTTGGGATGGGTGGACTGTTTTCTGGCATCTGTCTCGAGCTCCTGTTGCCCTATTTGAATGACACCAATAACTGTCACACTTGGGCAAAAGAAGTCATCTTTGGTACTTGCTGCCTACAGCAGCAGGCCCAGAAGAATCTTTCTGGCAGTCTTTGTCTACTATTTCTTTACTTCTGACCATGCCTAACGGGTTCTTTTTACATCATCTCTTCTAGCCAAAAAGACTTTCCTTGGGCAAAACAAGTCATTTTGGGGACCTCTAGAACTAGTAGAAAAACTTGTTCCTGAGGCTGCAGAGATTACAGCAAGCGTTAAGGATCTCCCAGGGCTGAAGTAAGTACAGTCTTTTACTGTACAAGTACGCAATGTTGCGCCAGAGCTCCTGTACCTTTTCCTATTGTAAAAGAATATTAAAATATGAAATAAATTGAAATAAAGAGCAGTTTTAGAAGTGTGGAAACCTTGGATTCATACTAACCCTTGGGAAATGTCATGTCATGTTTTAGTGAGGTCAAGAATGGGGAGTAATGAAGATGACTTTCATGGGCAGTTGCTTATTCCAATTAAGGCTAGAAAATGAAGTGCCCCATGTGGTCTTTGGTATAAGACAGTTGACTGACTGCTGGAGGTGGAGAAGAGATTTCCTTCTGATCAGTATATTGCTCAATGTGGCGGGTTTACACCTTCCTTTGGAGCAACTGGTGCTGGCTTATGGCCAGGGTAGATGAGCCAGAGCTGTGATGCAGCTTATCAGTTGTATTTTTAAAGCTGTGTGCTTCAGATTGCCAGAAGAAACAGAGAGAAGGACTGTGGCTGTAACCCATTGCATCCTGTGAACATATTAATAAGCAAACTAGTTGAAGAGAATAGTACTGAGGTTGTGTTTTCCATTGTCTTTGTGGATTCTCACTCAGCTGAATACCTCCCTGAAGGAGTGACACTTGGGCATCTGTGATGAACTGAAGTATACACGTTATTCTGACTTGCCTTGTGCAAAGCTGATTTTGAATTAGGTGGTGATGTGTTGAAGCAGTTGATTTCTCTGTAGTAACATCCAGCAGTGTTAAGTCAGGGAAATATTTTTAGTATAACAAAAAATGCAGAATTACTTATGAGAGAAACAGTGATTGCTTAAACTATTTTGTAACTATTTGCACTTAAATACCTTGTATTTCCTGGTTTTCATGGAATCCCAGGCTATTTTGGTTGGAAGGGACCTTGAAGCTCACCCAGTTCCAGCCCCCTGCCATGGGCAGGGACACCTTGCAGTAGACCGGGTTGCTCAAAGCCCCATCCATTCATCAGTGCCAACTCTCTTTGAGATGTGGATCCTTCAGATAGAAGGGGATTATTGGAGCTGTTTGTGAATGTACATTGCAGTATGTCTATAACCGTTTTGTTTCTGGCGTTTGTAGGACACCTGTGGGTAGAGGAAGAGCTTGGCTTCGCTTGGCTCTCATGCAGAAGAAGCTTTCTGAATACATGAAAGCCTTGATTAACAGAAAGGATCTTCTCAGGTGAGTGCTGAGCTCATCCTCAGATTAGATTATGTTCACCTCTGTCTTCTTGTAAGATCTTCATGAACTTCTACACCCAAATGTTAAAGTATGTTGTACTTTTTGTGAGAAATACTAATGTTTGTGAAATGCAGACCATCTTCTGGGGGATTAAAAACGCTCAGTGTTCTTTCTTAATTCAGAAGCTATTAATTCTCCACTTTGTTTCAATATTTCATTAGAATAAACACAAATTTTGGCTACAAAGAGATGATTTAGGGGAGGTACAGATACAGAAGAGATAGAGTGTTCTCCATCTGCAGCCTTGGCCCTGGGAAATTTTATGACCTTGTAACTCCATTACTGTCTGTCTTGGAACAAATAATTTCACTTCCCATATCTCTGCTTCCTTCTGATAAACCAGCAATGATTTTGTAGTTTAATTGAAAACCCATGGATTTGAACTACTATATCTGTGTATAGCAGTAGGATTTAATAAATATGTTGGGTGTTCCTTGACTCAAACCAGTAGGTGTTTGTTGGCTGTACATGTAAATCCATACCTGACTCGAGGTTAGAAAGGACAACTTGGTATTGTCTGCTGGAAAATGTGGCAGTGGCTTGTGTTAATCACAGTAGTAATAGAGGAATAGAAGGGTGTTACTTAAACTCTGATATTAAGCTCCCCTCTTAAATCTTCAATGTGCTGTGCCATTACTCCACAACTGTGCTTACTTTCTACCACATTTCAGTGGTGAGTAACCAAGTCTTCGACTCACTGGGTCTTTGCCTTGCCTAAAAACTTAATCTTCTGAGAGAGATATGTTCAGTCAGAGCAAAATTACATGGACAGTACACAGAAGTGCGTTTCTGTGTGGACAGCATGCCACAGCCTGGGGTTTTGTTGAGGCTGAGCTGGCATTGTGTCTGAAATAGAAGGGATCTATCCCGTGCTAATTGACATTTTTAGTTGACTTTTAAAGATTCAACACTTGTTTTCTCTTGCTGTGCATCATGCAGTGAATTTTACGAGCCTAATGCACTGATGATGGAAGAAGAAGGTGCGATCATTGCTGGCCTCCTAGTAGGTTTGAATGTCATCGATGCCAACTTCTGCATGAAGGGTGAAGACCTGGACTCACAGGTATTTGGTATTCAGTTAATGTGGGGTTTTTCTGCTCATTTGAATTGAAAGAATTTTTCATTGTAGAGGACTTTAATCAACTGAGACGTAAGTTTGCTACTAAATGCAATGCAAGGCTGATATAAGCTTGTTACTGTGAGTGTGGTCTTTGGTTAGCTGGTGGCACTGAGATCAGAGACTCAAGGTTTTGGTTTGCTCTTTGCTGTTGTGTTTTGCTGTGGTCTGCGGACAGGTCACTGTGGAGTGAAATGTAGTAAATGAAAAAGGAGATGAAAATGGGCAAGGACTTGGCTAAAATAAGGGGAGAAATGGGTAGAACTGTTAATTCACTCATGCTGTGTAATGAAGTCATTGTAGCTGTTAAAAGAAAATTAGCCTGTGTGCACTTATGTTCAAGCTTGCATAAGCAATGAACGTACAGATAGAGTGATAATAACAGCTTATTCTTACAGCCTAAGACTTGCAGCCTATCCTAGGATAGTTTTGCTTGAAATAAGCCATGTTTTCATTAATTTTGGATAGATAACTGGTATAATGAGTCCTTGTAATACATCATGTATTGGTGTCCTAACTGAATGACTTCAAACTTTCACAACTACAGACAGTGTTTAGTCTTAGAAAGTGTTTAATGTTAGATGCATTTTTTTTTTACCTTTAGGTTGGTGTTATTGATTTCTCAATGTATTTGAAAGATGGGAACAGCACAAAAGGCAGCGAAGGGTAGGTACATACACAATTGTCCTGCTTCTTACCTCTTGGTAACTTGTATTCAAGTATTCCAGGGTGCCCTGAAAGCTATTATGTTTTTAATTAAAAAGCTACTTAGGCTGAATTGCTGTTCTATGATAAACCATAATATATTAATAAGATACTGGAAATGTTGAGAGGGGGCAGAGGAAAAGTAAATTCTCCTAGAAATTCTGTGTTCTTCCTCAACTAGCAATTGAAGATAAAAATGTTCTAAGAGTGAGTTAGGACCTGCCCTTCTTTAAAGCCTTTTTGGTAGGCAGCTTAGTAGCCTTCGCCCCTTGTATGGCTAGTAGGTAGGTGATTTTTGGAATATCCTTAGGAAAAAAATAATAATTCTCATAACTAGTTCCCATAACTAATAATAATTCCCATAACTAATAATAACCTAAAGTACTTGTGCCACCATATCCAAATGGGCTGTGCAATATTCAGAGCAAGTGGTTGGAAAATAAAGTGCAGGCACATTGACATATGCATCAGGTGTTGGGGTTTTCTGAGCTTCTTTAAGGGTACTTCTTCCTTCTAAGGAAGTCCTTAAATTCAGGTATGTATTTAATAATTATCCTTCAGGATCATGTGTTTTGTTTGCATTTATTTTAGCTGTAGTTTTTAGAACATGCTTTTCTTTAGTCAAGATTTCCTGCTACAAGTGCATGCAAAACGTGTTTGTTGGCAGATGGATTTTGGTGGGATGACTCTTAGACTCCTGTCCAGTATCAGAGTAGTTCAGAACCCTTTTTTTTGGTCTTTTGAAATAACGCTGTGCTCTTTGAAATGCCGTCTGCTTTAATTATTCTGGTTGGTGTGTCACCTCAGTATCGTCCAGGTGAGTGTAGCAGCTGCAGCTTCTGAGAAGTCAGGGAACAGTGACTGACGATGAAGGCATAGATTGCAACTCGACTTTGCTATTTCCTATGCAACCTATAGTCTGTTGAGACCTAGGGTCTTGGTGCTATGCTGGAGAGATATATAGATGGCAACATTTCCTCTTTGACCTTTAGCAGTGTCTCTTAGTTCCTTGAATCCATATGATTGAGCTGAATGGTATTTCTTCTTTCCAGAGATGGTCAGATAACTGCTATTTTGGATCAGAAAAACTATGTAGAAGAACTCAATAGGCATTTAAGGTAAGATGTGATTTATTTATTCTTTATTATCTAGTGTAACAAGATAGAAACCAGGATTTTTAAAAAGCAGGAATTACTGTAGGGCTTTTTTTTCTCTTCAACAGTGCTACAGTAAACAACCTGCAGGCCAAGGTGGATGCCTTAGAAAAATCCAACACTAAACTGACTGAGGAGGTAAGTGTAATAGGAAATAATCTGATGTTTTGGCCTTTTGGAATTGGGTTTAAAAAGGTAATGGAGGAGTTATTTTTGGATGTCTGTTGTATGTAATGATGAGAGTTTAAGGATGAACCTGGAATAACTGACCTGCTGAAGAATTACACTGGCTGTTGCTACAAAGTGTGAGGTGGAAAATCATCTGAATGTTGATGTTAAAAAACCCAAAAGCTGCTGAATGCACTTGATCACTCTGAAGTCTTTGCATGCTTTCTGGTATTTGGAAAGTATCTTAGAATAAGTTGTATGGTGCTTGTAGTTTCAAATGCCCTACAGCTGATACAAGTTATGGGAGGTCCAGCCATGACAAAGACATTTTTAAATGTCTGTTTGTTTTGATGATGTAGAAATTCACTACAGGGTAAAGATAGTAATTGAAATGTTTCAATAACTTTCTCTAGCCTGTCACAATTTGCAAGAAATAAAGGAAAAATTACTATTATGGATGAAACATTTTTCAGTCTGAGTATGAGAAATGGTTGGTACATGAGTCAGAGGTCTAACCTGTATTTTTAAATTGGTCTTGCAGTTCATTAGTAATGGCATAAATGTAATAAAATATTTTGGGGTCAGTTCCCGGACAAATGGGTGATAGGAGGTCTCATCCTAATGGTTGTACAGAGTATCTCTGTCCCCATGTGACTTAGCTGAGTAGAATGACTTTGACTGGGATGTCTCAGTGCTCTTGAAGAACAAATAGGAAATAGAAATTCTTTTTTGCTTGTTCATCCTCATAAGGAGATCTGTGTGTCTGGTTATTGAACTATTACTCTAATGGATGTATTCCAGACAGTGAGAAGCTTTAGTGATGGAAATTACCATATCCAGTCTTGCAATTAAGGAGCAAGAAATGCTTTTTACAGTTAAAATGTTTTTTTAAGTTCTAAATTTGTGGTCTGCAGTAGAGGCTGGCTTTCTCAGTGCTACTGTAAGTGAGTTTTGATTTATCACCTGCAGAGTATGGGTGCTGTGCCAATTAGGGATTGTCCCCATGAGAGTAATTTCAGTGCTGACTGAAGTGGTTTTTGTTTTTTAATGGTTTACTTGTTTGCATCTCAATGAAGTCTGTTCAAAGTAAGAAGTGACACTGGAAGACACTATGCCAGCCCAGGGGTGTTTACAGGATGTAGTTAATGAACTGTGTCACATGTGACATCAATTTGTGCATTTGGCTTGAGCTGTACCAAAGACTCAGGCTTTTATCAGGGTAATTTCTGTTTGGGTTTGTCACTTAATAACACAGCTGATGTCTTGGAATGTCACTGAGGTTTTCTAGCGTGCAAGGCTTATGTAAGTTAGGATTTACAAAGCCAGGAGGAGTTTTCTGAAGTTATTTTGGCCTTTGAACACATGCTGTTAGTCTGCAGTGATGTCTTCATTGGGAATTCCTCTGAGGCAGATGTGCTGTCTCCTAAGGGTGGCCTGTGCACTTGATCCTCCATTTCCAGCCAAATCTTCCTCGTCTGGTGAGATTCTCACTGTGCTTCTCCTGCCCAAGTACTTGAGCATCTTACATCTCAGGTGCTCTGCCTAGCAGTGTACCCAAACCACTGAAGCTTTAGCAAACCCACACAAGCATTTCTTCTTGGTAGCAGATTTCAGCTGCTAGAAGTCACGAAATTTAGCTGCTCTGTGCTCACGTTTTTCCATCTTGTTATCTCTGGTGAGGGAAGGGAATGGAGTGAGGATTTCAGTTGAGTTGCGTTAACCACATGTTAAACCAAGTCTAGCAGGTAGAGTCCTCAGGAAGTCAGTAATTTTACTGAAAGACAGGAACCAAAATAGGTTGGGAAGTCTCTGTTTTGGCTAATATTAAAAATCCATCACAGTGGTACTAACTGATGCTTTTGCTTTTTCTGGTAGCCCTTCTCTGTTTTTAGAGGCCAAGTTGTCTTTAGCCACTCCAAATATGGGAGAAGATGGGTCTAAAGAGGGGAAAAAAAATGGCCAAGTATGTTTGTGATGTTACTGTTGTTCTGTTTTGTTCACAGCTTGCAGTTGCAAACAACAGGATTATTACACTGCAAGAGGAGATGGAACGGGTTAAAGAAGAAAGCTCTTACATCTTAGAGTCCAGTCGTAAGGTTGGTGTATGTGTGAATGATTTACTGACCCTTTGGGGCAGCTTCCACCCAGATTGAACATGCAGTCCATGTTTGAAAGAGACTTTATTTCCTGATGTATCTCACAAAAAATGCAATAGGTAAGAGTGAATGCAGGTGGATCCTCACAGAGGGTAACAGATGGATCCTGGCTACAGTAAATCCTGTCTGGCCATAGCTGATGAAACCATGAGCATGTGCAGAGCTGAGAGCTCACACAGCATGTTCATGGCTTGTATGGCAAGGTGTCAGAGGGGACAGGAGGAAGAATAATATACTGAGAGGCTGGCAGAACAATTTGGATGTAGCAGTTGTGCTTTTCTGGCCTGAAACACTACCCTCTTCAGAAATCAAGGGACAGGATCTCTAGTAACTATGGCAGAATCAGGTTTTAATTTTAAAAACCCCAAGATCTTTTCCTGAGGATTTGTAACCATCCATAATATACTGTGAAAGTCTTGAAAATTGACAGTCTGTTTAATTCATACCCATTGAAGTGCATGGGAGCACTTGGGGAGACAGGGAAGTAGAATAAATTCCCATGGAAGCTGCATGCTGAATGGAGCTCTGATTTTTGATAGTGGCAGAATTTGTTTTCCAAGTGGTGGGAAAAGCAAATAATCAGCAAATGAGAGGGTCAGTAGTATATAATGACAAGCTAATTGGGTGTCTTGATTTATTTAGGTCACTAAAGACAGAGCTGCTGATGGACATGCACTGACTGAGGCACGAAAACAGTTAAAGGAGGAGACTCAGCTGCGGCTGGTAAGGGCTGTGTGAGCTGGGAGCTCCTGGTAAATGGCTTTTTCACCTAACTCCATGTCAGACAATCACTTTTGACAGTGTTTGACCAGATTTTTTTTTTATTTTTTTTTCATTCTCATCTTCCTGCTTCATTTTGTGGCTCTGTTGATCAGTTTCAGGACTGTTTCTCAAAATGAGCAGTGCAGTTGCATTTCTGGGTCTGATGCATCTGCCTTGCCCCATCCCTGGGAGTGTCCAAGGCCAGGTTGGACAGGGCTTTGCAACCTGGTCTAGTGGAAGGTGTCCCTGCCCATGGCAAGGGGTTGGAACTGGGTGAGCTTTAAGGTCCCTTCCAACCCAAACCATTCTGTGACTCTAAGAATATTGCCATTATCTGAACTGTTACTCCATATCATATGTTCAGCTAGTGGGGAGAAAAATGCCTGAGCAGGATGCTTTTAGGAGTTAAAGTTTTCCAGCTTGATGCTGCCTAATCTGTATGTTCCAGGATGTGGAGAAAGAGCTGGAGGCACAGATTGGGATGCGGCAGGAGATGGAGCTAGCTATGAAGATGCTGGAGAAAGATGTTTGCGAGAAGCAGGATGCACTGGTCGCGCTCAGGCAGCAGCTGGATGATCTTAGGGCCCTAAAGCATGAACTGTCTTTCAAGCTGCAGGTAGGAAAATAATTCAGATTCTGGATAAAAGTGATGGCTTTTCTTCTTCTTTTTGCCCGTCTCTATTTAAAAGGTGCAATATGTGGGTTACAGGGTTACAAGCTGGACAACATACTTCTGTCTTGATGCAAGAAAGCTCTAGTATTTGAGGTGGAGGTTGAGAGAAGATGCAGTTTCTTCTGAAGAAAGACTCATTGTTATCCGGAAATATGTGTGTGTCACTGGGGAAAGTACCTTCTGTGGTTCTGTGGTATAAAAACTGAGCCATGGTAGCTGCTGTTCCAGTACAATCCAGTATTGAAGGTGTATGGTGTAGTTAGAGTAATGGAAAAGCAGAGTCTTAAGACAAAGAGCAACACAAAATGCTTGGAAAGAAATCCCAAAATAATTTTTAGAACAGAAAAGAGTTGCTTCTGCTTTCCTTGAGCCAGTCATTCTCTGCAAAGCAGTTGAATGATATTAGCAGAAACCACATTAATATTTGTTGTACAGGAAGCTTCACTGATGATGGTATTGCCTTTTTGTAGGGCCCAGATGTGGCCTGCACCGGCATGGCAACATATTTGTCCTTGCAGTATTGATCTGGCCTTTGCTTTTGATCACCTTTTCCTATCTCTTTGGTTTCTGTCCCTTTGGTTTCATTGGCCACATGATTTATGGTGGCTTATTTTGGTTTTACTGCTACTTACAAAAGCCCCACAATGCTACTTTTTGCAGAGTTCAGACATGGGGGTGAAACAGAAGAGTGAATTAAACAGTCGTTTGGAAGAAAAAACAAATCAGATGGCTGCCACCATCAAACAGCTTGAACAAAGGTAAAAAATGAAGCTTTGACAATTACAAAAGCATTTGTATATTCTAGTGGTAATGTCCTGCAGACCCTGGATGGAACTGCTCTGCTCAGACACTGATGAACAGAGCTACATGAGGAGAGGTCTGATTTTTGAGATGTTGTTCAGAGTGTCTTGCATGCTCTGGAGGGCTTGTGGTAGAAAAGAATATATGACTAAACCAGTAATGAACACAGCAGCTTTGTTTATCTACATTAGCTGCCCTTTTATATGTTGTTCAGTCATTACAAGTCAATCACTGTCTCTGATAGCACTGATTAAAAAATAGAAATAGGAACTTAGAGAAGTTCTTGACTGTTAATGACAGTATTAAGAGAGGGAGGAGGAAGGATGAGCAGCAGAAGCCAGGCTTGGAGGTACCTTGGTTATTCCACATCTCTCTGGTGCTCTTCAGAAAAAAAAAACCCAACTGAAGCATTCTCTTTATGAGAAATCAGACTGATTTGAGAAGAAGCAATGCTTCTTTTTCCATTTTGTCCTGCTCTCGAAGCCAAGCTTTGCAGAGCTTTGGCCAGAGGTTCAGAACTTCAGTCTCTGGGAATTTCGTTGACTGTTGTGCTAGCTCCAAGAAAAGCATAGCTGTCAGGAGCATGTGGTGCCTGGGACTTAGTTAATGAGTAGGTCATTGGATTAAATTAACATTCTCATTTTAGGGATTGTATTTTGAGTTGTTCTTTGTAAAAAAATAATTTCGTTTGTAAAAAATATGTATTTTAAAATGTTTTATTATACCTACTCAGCTAATTTATCTACTCTCTTTCTCTTGCTGTTCTTATTTTCCTTTTTTTATCATCACCCTCGTTCTGACTTACTTAAACAGTGAAAAGGATTTGGTGAAACAGGCAAAAACCTTAAATAGCGCAGCAAACAAACTGATCCAGAAGCATCATTAGACATTTTTATGTCTGGTCACCTCACAGCTCTGACATCAGAACTCCTTTATGAGGGGAGAACTTGCAAATTGCTAAAAGCAACTGTTAAAATATTAATTGTCACCTAAAGTTGGTTTGGAATTTGCTGAATTTTTAAAATCAGTGAGTTTTTCTTCAGAGATTTAGAGTCAGGTATAAAAATCCCTAACTATGCCCTTTAAACCATGTTAAAGTACCAATGAGTTGGCCAATAAACACACCAGGAAAGCATAAGGAATGGGAGATCTGTGGCTCTGTACACCCTGGTGATGCATACCGTATACAGCAGCACAAGTCTTCAGCCGTTACGGATTCTAGGCGTGTTGATCAAGCCACTGTTAGATTGGCCAGCTCTGGGAAATCAAATAGTTTTCTGTGTTGCCCTTTTTGTGCAGTAGATGAAAAAAATGCATCCCTGGAAGTTGTTGAAAGTAGTTGTGTGCGTAGCCCAAGCCGTTCCCTGTTCACTTCTGTTGTGTGGGTTCAGCCCCAAGTCCGAGATGCGATAGATCATCACCGTGAAGACCAGCCCTCTTGTAAACAAGACTGCTTGCAACGATTTTGCCTTAGTGACTTGGTGGGAGGGTGGGGACTTCTCCTTATTCCTTTAAACTTCATGTGTCCAGAATTAGTAGCTAGGTGTCTTAGAGTAACATGATAGAGTGGTAAGTTCAGTGGAAACCTCCTTATCTTTGCATTGCCTTGCCTTCTACCTCTGCCATGAATCTCGCTAGATGTGCATTGAGGTTCTTCCCAACTGAAGGAATCTGAGGAGAGGTATTTTGGTAGGTCTTTCCTCTTCCTAGGAAGGGAAGTTACATGTTTAAAAACAAAAATCTGATCTTCTTACTCTAGAGTTTAAAAGAAACAAAAGCATAAAATAAAAATAGAAGAAAGGAACAAAATGTGCAATGGTGGGGAGCAGAAATGCTAATTTGGTACTTGACCATTCCTTGTCTGAGTAGCTAGTGGTTAAAAAAGAAGAGTTACATTCTACTATCGCACTTCTTTCATTTGCTTGGGGAGACTTTCTTGCTCAATACAAATGGAATTTGCTAATGGAAGAACAGATAAAGCTTGGGAATCAGCTCTTGATAGGAAAAATAATTGCCACTTTAACACCTCAGTGTAAAACTTTAAATAAATATAGCTGGGACTATTAGAAACTAATAATTCTCATGCCTGGGGCCACAGAAGTTCACCATGCTGGCCTGCCACAGGCCTTAGGCTATAAGTGCTCCTTGAGATTATTTTTTGCTTTCAAGAAGATCATATATGGGGGTTTTCTGTATTAAATAAGGGGTTTTTGCTCTGGTGAGATGCCTGTAAAGATTCTTTGATGCCAGTTCTCCCTTTTTTTTCTGTGGGACAGTGCTCTTTGGGGTACTAGGTGGCAGATGTAACTGAAACACAGCTGGAGAAAGAAGCCTTATTGATCCTCACTAGGTATGTTTAAAATCAGTGAGGCTAAGCCCAGTCCTACTGTATGTGTGTACCATCACTTGGCTTATTTAATGGACTTCTGCACACAAGCAGACTTGGAGACCCCATTTGAAATCTCTATGCCCAAGTAGTGTGCTTGGAAATATAAGGTTAACCTTTAATAACCTTTTACTAGAAACTCATTTTAACTACCTGGAGAATAATAAAATAATAATTAAAAGGTGGAAGCTTTCATCAAGGTATCTAAGTAGCTGATTAGAACAGTTAACTCCCCTGCTCTTCCCCACATTTCTTCTGTGGAATTAAGGGGTTGTGCCAGGTTTGTTTGTTGTCACAATAATGCTAAAATCAGGCAGAATTAAGGATCTGGCCTTTTCTGATGTCAGGGCCAGAGTGAAAATGCTTTGGTATACTAATGCCTTGTGTCAGTCCATGGAAGAGACCAGGAAAATGCACTAATTCTCAATAGAGTAGCTAACCTATGTTGCAAGTTCCAGTTACACGTGTAGAGCTGAAATGTAACGTACATTAAAATCAAATTGGACTTGAAATTCTGTGTACTTGAGGTTTGCTTTGAATCTGGATAAAAGTGATGTTTTATGTTTTTCATCTAATGGCTGTAAACCGTAGTAATAGAATAAAAACTATTGAAAATCAGAGCTTCTGCCTGGTTCACCTACGTTTTACTTTTCTTTAAAATATTTTCCTCTTTCCCATTGATTTTATCATTTCTTTTTTTTTTTTCTTTTTTTTGGCTTTACCTTTTCACTGGGTGTTTTATTTGTTGGTTAAACTCAGTCTTCCTCCCCACCATGGCTTTTGTTTTTTATCACAAGTTCATGTGGCTCAAATCCAGATTGCGACAGTCGGAGAAGGACCGTCAGTTGGCCGAGCAAGACAACCGCCTCTTCAAGCAGGAGTTTGGGGACAAAATCAACAGCCTCCAGCTAGAAGTGGAAGAGCTCTCCAGGCAGCGGTGAAGAGACCCTTTTCCAACCTCTTTTTTGGGCTGTTCTTAGTAGAAAGCAGGCAGAGTGATGGCAAAGAGAGGGGGTTGAGGTGGAGAAAACCAGCAAATGGCTTTTATCACAAATTTGTGCAAGGTCCTGGGTGTGTGTGGGTGAGCTTAATAGAGTTCTTGGTCGTAAAGGGGGAAGGCATCTTCTCTGCATATGCAAACTGGTCTATTTTTACATCAGCTGGACTTTTTCTCAAGCTAAATGGCAATGAAAGTATGAAAATGATTGAGCCTCCTTTACCAGGAGGCTGCACTGCTTTATTTAGCTGAGGTTCTACAGCAGGAAGTTGCTGGAGGGTGCTGCAGTGGGATGTGGGCAGTCTCGCTTGAATTACATTCCTTTAAGAGGAGATGGGGCTTTTTGTGGTAGTGTTGGTTGTAAATCAAGTTATAAACAAGAACTTCCTCAGTTGGTTTAAGCGTCAACATGGCCAAGTATTCATTTCTGGGTCTAAGTCTCCACCAGCTTAACTCACTTCAGTTTGGCTATGGAATTAATGCAGCTGTAGTTATAACGAGTTATTTCAGTAACTGTCAGAGTGCTATGGAGATGAACAAGGCTAATAATGGATCATGATGGTTTAAATATCAAAGAGGATTCTGAACGGTTTATAGTACAAGTTTTGCTGCTACTTTTAGCAGCAGATACTCAGTTTCTAGGCTCTGATTTCAGAGCAGGGGTCATTCCCTACGGCAGCTACTGCATTTCACTTGGAATGATTTCTGAAAACAGCGTTTCTAGCGCTTTGGTCCCTTATGGTCTATGTGCTCAGAGAGCTTTGTTGGTGTTCCACACAGGCAGGCTGCAGTCATGGAGACAGTGAGCTTTCTGGTGGCCCAAAGTGAAGGCTCCCCTGTGATCTGGCAGCGTTCAAGGCCAGGTTGGACACGGCTTGGAGCAACCTGGTCTAGTGGAAGCTGTCCCTGTCCATGGCAGGAAGTTGGAACTGGATGAGCTTTAAGGTCCCTTCTAACCCAAACCAAACTGTGATTCTACGATCCACAGCTAGATTCAGAGTCATGCTTTTCTTGAGCCTCCTTCAGGCTGTGTCAGGGACCTCAGATGTCCTTGACCACTGATGAGTTGTTTTCTCGAATATGAATGTGCTGCACTCAGCCACATTTTTCTTCCCTCTGGCTTGATGCACCACTGCACATGGTGCACAGGACTGACACCAAAGCCTAGGCTGCTTGTCAGTCTTGAAGCAGCACGTGTCATCCCTTAGTACAGGTTAGGCTAGACCAGAGGCTGCAGAGCACTTCTGGTGAGGAGCCTGCAGTTTTTTCATGAGGACCAAGCTCCACTTTCAGGTGAGGTGTCAGAAGAATTGCCACAGCTCTCAGGGGGTAACAGTCCATCGATCCCATGTGGATAGCTTTGGGAAATGGTTAAAGATGTTGGCTTTGGTTTCAGGGCCTGTCCTGTAGCAGTTGATGTGCTGAAGAATGTCTTTTTGAAAAAGGTACATATTGACAGTTCTGTAACAGATGAAGAAGTAAGTATTGTTTCAGGACTTCCAGACGTAGTCAGGAGGTTTATTTCCCTCAAAACTGGAATTAGATGATGAACATCTAGATTATCCATCCTGACATATTATGGCTTAACACACTTAACACACAGACAAGTTGTTATTCAGAGGCAGTTTTCAGCTCCTGAGTTGGGGTTCAGTTTCTTTAATGTGAAGAGAAGGTTAAATAGTTCATTATGTTTCAATGTCAAGTGTTAGAAAACCATAGCCTTTGTTCACAATTCCACCTCGATATTCTAGGAGCCACCTGGAACTAGAACTGAAGCGGGAAAGGGACAGATGGTCACACAGCCACCAAAGCAGCCAAGAAAACAAAAAAGGCACGAAGTCTTGGCTGAGGCAGGTAAGACAACTTGTATTCTTGGCTTGTGTTTGAAGTAGAGTTACATTTTGCTCATTTACTGTTCCTGAGCTTTGTTGTGCAATAAGTATGTAACATACTACATACAAACATACTACAACAAAGGGAGCTTTGGAACATTTGTTTACACACACTAAATAGGCTGTTCCTGAATTGAGCCTCACCAAAAAAATTGCAAGAACACTGGTTTCCTCTTCCAGGCTGGGTACCTGGCAAGGTTTTGGCAGTGATTGTGGTTTGTCTTCACTAGATGAATAAAACCAAGGGTAATACAGCAGGAGAGATGCTGTACACCTTACATCTGATGAAAAGCAAGTTTCCTTCCTTCTATTTTTTTGTTTTAGAAGGGAAATTCTCCCAAAAGTAATTGATAGAAAAATTTAGAAGGCAAAATTCTTTCAAGGGCATCACAAATCACTTTTCACTGTTCTTTTAGTGCTGTCCATTAGTGAATTTGGTGGTTTTAAAACGAAGGGCAGTGTTCATCTCGAGAGCAGACCTCATAGTTCCCAAGTGAAACTCTCTTTTTAGTAGGAAGTTTGCCTTTGAAAGCTAAAATCCTCTCTGCATCTTTTTCTGCAGAGCAAACCAGGCTTTTCTGCTGGGGACTGGCAGTAAAACAGTTGTTCTGGAGAACAAAACTTGTAACTATGAGAACTGGAAAGTAGTAACAGAGGCTGTATCAGCAATTCCCATGTGTGCTGCTGCCCTTGACAGGTGCTTTCACCTGGGCTGCTTCAGTGAGCCAAGGTGCAAAAAAGTGATTGCAGAATGGATGCCTCTATTGCCACAGAACTTGTAGGTGGTGATTGATGCAATGGAAGTGTCTTTAAAAAGCCTGTTCAGCCCATCTGCCTCTTCAGCCTCTGCTGTTAACATAAACAGTAGTGACTGTGAAGTTTCTTGTACCTTCTAGCAAAAGGATGTCATTGGACCTGTTGAAGAGTCCATCTCTAAAATGTGAAGTCAGCTTTTTGATCACAGCAAAAGAAAGTAAAGTAGGTAGGGTGGATGGGTGTTTATGTGCTTTCTCATAGTGTCCAAAGACACCTCTGTGCCAAGGAGGGGCAGATCGGTATTCCCAAAATAGCAAGGTAAAGTCTTCCTTTGCAGTATGGCAGGGGTGAAACTGGAGTCATCACACAGTTCAACTGATGGGTAAATGTTTTCTTTTGGCAGGATGGGAAGCTCAAAATCCAGGAAGAAAATGCTAAACTGAAGCAGTCGCTAAGGGAGAACAGTGTCCTGACACACAAGTATGAAAGAAAGGAAATCTCCTTTTTGCCTTCTCCTTTTTTAAGTCCTGCTTCCCCTTCACTGATTTCTGCACTAATGGGAAGTTTGTGCAGAAAACTTCTCCTTTCTTAAAAAGATTTTCAACCTCATGCCCTTTGTTGAGGTCTCTGCTGCTTTTTCATAGCACTCAAAGGGAAGGAGGAGGTTCTACTGCTTGCCCTCAGCCTTTCTGGATCTGAAAAGCTCTGTCTCTCTCCCAGTTCCCTTTTGTGTCTATAAACCTGCTCTTGATCAATTGTTCTTACTCGATGAGCCTTTTGTAAGCTTTCCTATTGGTGAGGGAAAGGAGAAGGGTTGGTGGATCAGAGGTGTTCGTAGGTAATACGCTGTGGCTTCTGGACCAGAAGAGAAGCTGCTGGAGAATCGAAATAATGTTGCAAGAAGATGGTTGTATGAAGATCAAGTTCAGGTAGCATGATTCTTACCTGTACCTGGATCTAAATCCATTATCACTGCCTGTTTGCAGCAGCTGGAGAGGCTCAAACATTTTGCAGCAACAAGTTTAAAGCTAGGTTTCAACTGTGTTTATACCATCGAAACAGTCTTTTCTATGCGCTGCTCCCTTTCTGAAGGTATTTTACTAGTTTTTCTCCAGCTCTTCCCATTTAGCCAGGTGTGCTGGATGTCTAAACAGTACCAGTCACGTCCTGCCACTCTGCTTTGCTGTTTGACAAAGCTCATAAAGGCCTCATCTCTTGCTCAAGCAGCCATGGCAGCGTGGTTTTGAAGAGACAAAAGCAAAGCTCTGTATGGGTAGGATGTAAAAAAAAAGGATGAGGAATTCTCTGATGGTCCAGATGTTTTTCTGAAATGGTGCAATGAGTGAAGTACCAGCTCCAGGTGATGTTCTTCTCTTGCAGGTTACTGAGCAGCACACAGGAAGAGCAGGTTGGTGATTCTTTTTCTTGCAATGAAATACTTGAAGGGACACGGGTGCTGAGGGAGCTCCTGGGTCACTGCAGCATCTTCCCTGCCCAAATACCCCAAAGTTTGCCCCTTGGGTTTTGCCTTGGGGAGAGTTTGCCTGTAGAGTCCATAGAAGCAATTGTTCCCTAGTAGAAAAAACACTGCTGTGTGTGTCAGCTCTTGTTCACAATGAAAAAGGTGTTTATTTCCCACCTTGATGCTGGGCCAGCAGCCTGACACTGGCCTGAAACAGAGCTGCGTGGTCCTTGGTTCCCACAGCCGTGCTGTGATTCCCTGTCTGCCCTGTGGTGTAGCCAGTGTGACTGTAGATGATCCTGCCAATGCATGATGTGCTGTGAATAGAGGGGGTTAAACACACGAGTACGTGAAACCTTCCTCCCTGTTGTACGATGTGGATCAGCCACAGAGCTTTAACACAGGTGCTGTGTAAAGTAGCACATGAAGCAGAACGGCTTGGTTTTTACTTGGGGCTTAGGAGCAGCTCTCAGGACCTGGAAACACTGAGACTTGCCAGCTCTGCCGGGAGGAAAGCAGCCGGAGTAAAAGAAAGGTAACTTCAAGGACTCACCATCCCTGTCGTATGGCAACACTCTGTTTCCTCCGAGTTTTCATTTCAGTAGTGCAGATTTCCTGCTGGTGTCCTGGGACAAGGAATGAGCCCTCTTCTGAGCTCCACTTTACACTTAATGTAAACTTGTTGAACAGTGCTTGGTTGAGGGCTCCTCACTCTACTTGGTGTTCAGTGGTTTGTTTTTCCTTCTTCCCTTTTCAGCTAAGTGGGGTTTTCAGAGACCAATGGGAAGTGAGAATAGGCAGTGATACAGTTCTAATTTCTCCACTTGCCACCTTGCATTTTTCTTATTTTTATTCTCTTTTCTTGTGGCTAAGCCCCTCTTGCTTTCCTCAGTGCTTTACTGCAGATCTAGAGGGATTACAAGTTACCAAAGAGGGTGTTCAGTGGGAGTGCTCCACTCCACGGTGGAGCTGTGAAGCATTTCTCTAACCCAGGAGAAGATTTGCGTTGACTGAATATTCATGAGAGGAAATGTAAGGCTTTTTTGTTGGTCATGTCTTGAGCATCTCTAATTCCTCTGTTCTCTTCCTGCATTCCAGAACATCTGCAAGAACTGTGGTGGCATCTTCTGTGAAGCCTGCTCAGTGAATGAGCTGCCCCTCCCATCTAGTATCAACCCTGAGCGTGTCTGCAATCCCTGCCATGAGCAGCTCATCCAGCAGTACTCAACCAGTCCCTTGTAGGGGACGGGCTACAGAGAGAGGTGACAAGAAATGGTTGTAGCTGATGATGGTTTCTGGGGTTGTTCAGGGAGGAATGTGAAGACGCCTGTGTTCTTTGGACGTCAGAGGGGAAGCAGCTTCATGGTGTTTATAGTCTCCTGTGACAAAAAACAGTCTGAGCCTTCCCTGTACAAAAATCTGCCTGCTCTGAGGCCTGAGCTTGTGCTGGAGAACTGCTTTAGGAATGTCATGGGAAGTGGCCCAGGATGTGCCTGAGCAGCCTCAGGACACAGTGAGAACAGACCCTCAAAAAAGAGCTGTGTGTGTGCAAGTTGAGAATGATCTCATCATGAAGTGTGTGGTGTGAAAGCATGCTGCTGGGAAGCAGAGGCTCACTGAAAGTGGAACAGGAGCTTTTTAATCCTCATGTCTGGTTGCACTTGAAATCCCATTTCTCCTTTCCCGGTTGCCTTTGACAATCTGGCTCTACCTGCTACATCAGTGCCAGGCGTCAGGAGGTGGGTGAGATGCCAGTAATCCCTTCCTAGCTTCATTTCTTTGGCTCAGCCCTCTTGCTATAGGCTTGGTATGCATATCTGTACCAAAACCAGTCAAAGCTGTGAAAATTCCCCTTCTGTATTGTAAGGAGTTGGGAGTATTGGTGGTTTTGATGAATGCACAGTATGAGAACTGATGGCCTGCACTGATCTGGCATGTAAGTGCCTTATGGCATCTCTGACCTCCCCCTCAGAGACCCTCACTGTGACTTTGTGACTACACAAGGGTGTACCTCCCACCTCAGTGTTGTAACAGAGGAAATGGAGTCCCAAGTATTTAGACACAGAAAGTGGTTTAGGGCCACTTCACCTCATCCCCTTGCACACATGAAAGTCACCATGGAAAACCTGGTGTTTCACTTTCTGCTAGATCAGAATGAAGGCAAGATGAAATCGGAATGCTTTGCACCTACTAGAAGTGGTAGTTTGAAACACAGTTTAAAGAGGTTTCACAGTTTATGCTACATCATTCTTTGTTGCTGTCATCTCATGGAATTCCTTGTTACTCCAAAAAGCGGTGGTGGCTTCCTCACAAACACACAGCAGGTCGTAGTTGTGTTGGGTTTCTACTGGAAGCCTGTGTCAGTCTTGAAGACCACAGAATGTTTTGTAGTCGGTAGAAAACTGATGTATATATGTAACAACAAATACATTTGGGTTTGTACAAATACTATTAGGGGGTAGTGGTTTAATTCCTCAGAGGGGATTTTCTGTTCAGCAGCTTGGCTGGGACTGCATTAAAAAGTGTGTCAGAGCTGAGATTTTGTGGCTGGTGCTGGTTTGGACCATGAATTACTCTTCTACATCCCTCTAGGCCTTCGTGTGTCGAGCCACATAAGTTCTCCAGCTCCTCTTATTGCCCTTCACAGGGGGGAAACTTCATGTAGTTTTTCTTTTTCTGCTCTTTTACCCCCTTGTGGCACTTACCAGATCCATTTCCTTGCTGCTGTCCCTTACAGTAAATTAGTAGTTGTAAACAGTGTTGAAATACAAAAAGTGTAGAATTTGAGTGTGGGCACCTCCTTCAGGGGGGTGAGACACCAGAGATGGGATGGGGAAGACACCGAGTGCAGTGTTACAGTTTTGTGTATGTGCTGTACACGTTGAGAAGATGTCAAATTCCTGCACCCAAACCCAGTGTGACTCAGCCCCATGGAGAAAGTAAGACCCACACAATTTTCATGTGAGAGGGCTAAACTAGAACCTGGGCCCTCCTTTGTCAATCACTTTTAATGCTGGTATGACCAGCACACTGCAGCTCCCAAGCATTGTGTGCCCTGTGCCCAGCTTTTGACCATTCCAGCTAGAGCAGCTGCCACTGTGCTTGCTCAAGGTGAAGGCTGTGACTATTGGCGTGAAAAACAGGACAGCTTGCGAGCAGGTCCCCTGAAGTCACACAAGATCCCTACACACAAGCAGGGAGGTGACTGAAACCCTTCAGAGCCCAGCTCTGGCAGCTACCATTTTGGAAGGTTAGAGCGAGTGGGTGCTCTGTGTCAGCACTTGCCTCTTTCCTTGTATCTCAGCCTCAGCGAAGGTCTCTGCTAGGACATACTGGATGCTGCAGGTGTTCAGCGTGTGTTTGCTCAGGTACAGCTTGTAATGCTGGAGTGTGCGTGGGCTGACACTGGCTGTCAAGCTTGGGGGAGCAGAGGGCAGCTTTTCTGATGTTCATGTTGTTCCACACAATAGTAAAAACTTGATCATCTATATCCCATGTCCCGAGTGGTCTTTCCATACCCTTCTGCCTTGATTACACATAGGAGGGATGAGGTGTTGGCTGTCCTGCTCCACACCCACTGACCTGTGTGTGAGGATCTGAAATCACACTGGTTTGTTAACTGTGGATACTGGTGGTTTATTAATCCTTTGTACACCATAATGCAGCTGGAGACTAGAAGAGCTCCATCCTGCAGCATCTGCCATCCCTCCAGTGCAGCTGCTTCTGCTTTTCAGCACACAATCTGGCCACAGTATGGCAATACAATTTATTACATGCTTTTACACCACGCTAACCTAGATTTTATACAGTTTATCGTCGTTAGTGCGCAGCGACACTTGTCCTCCATCTTTATGCTTGTATCCCCGGAATGTTCACTTGGCCTAAAAAGAGAAGAAAAATCACTGCCTTGCTGTGGCTTATTGCTTTCCTTTTTTCAAATGCCCCACTGCATTTTATTCTGAATTACTGCCTCCAGTAATAGAATAGTAGACTTTGGCATTACACAAACAGCTCTAACAGGGAGATGTTTCCATGGGGGGTGGCAGTACACACACATGGGGTTGGAAATGTTAAAATTCCACTGCTGCTGGATCCCAGCTGAGGGTCAGAAGTGGTTCTGGCTGTGCTGGTGCCAGTGGGGCTGGCTGGGGTGGAGGGCACAGGCAGGAGTGTGCCTTGAATGCCCGCCAAGAGCTGCTCCCTGGCGTAACAGCAGTCCAGAGTTGCAGGGGTGGTGGGGCACTGGGGGGTGCCAGGCCTCCCTGCTGCAGTGGGGAGCAGCAACCAGCACCCCACCTTTCCAACCAGCACCCCACCTTTCCTAAGGGAACTGAAGGAAGCATCACAAGTCAGGTAGGGCCTTCCTTAAGGACACAGGAAAGCTTTTTTCCTGGAACACTCAGTCTCACAGTAGTGGAGCTGGGAAACCCTTCTGCCACAGGGAGGGCCGGTGTGTTTTGAGGAAGGAGAGTGACCTGACATGTTCTGGCAGCAAGAACTGCCAGGCCACACTGCAACCTCCATGGAAGGGCCACGTCCCTCATGCACACAACACAGCTTGCAAGTTTTCTTTTGTAAATGGCAAGAGACACTGTTCCTATGCAACAAAGCAAGCAAGAACTGTCCTGCTGTAGGACACTACCCCCATCAGCCTGCGGTTAACATCATGAAAAGCACTGCACACCCTTTGCATTGAGAACAGGCTGGCTACCACAAGCAAGGGTGCTTGTCAGAGTGGGTGGATTAAAACATTAAGAAATGACCTGAAGAATGTTACTGTGTCAGATTCCACTGTAATTGTAAGCAGCATCCCCCCAGCCTAAAGACCAACTGCTGTTAAATCCATGGAAAAGGTTTAGGCACATTTCCTCTTCCACGCCAGGGAATACAGCCCCCTCAGAACCTTACATCAATCGTGCTAGCAGACTTTTAAAGGGAGGAGGGAAACAAAGCTCTCCCACTCCCTGCAGCAGGCCTCAGCTGCAAGGGGAAGCTGCTGTTGGAGCCAAACTGTGCCTGGGCACCACAGCAACCACTGCCAGCTCTGGCTGTAACCCCAGAAAGAGCTGCTGCCCTGTCACCTCAAGACTGCTATACTGTGGGAGCAGCCTCACTGGGTGGAGGGTCTAGGCTCAATGCCTGACCTTGGATTAGCTCTGATGAGCCCCTTCAGTCACTCTAAATTTTAGCCTTTAAGCTGGTTGAAATCCCATCAACAAAAGTGTCAGAAACAGTAAATGTGAGACACACGTTGGTAAGAATGGAACAGACAGGACTGAGAGAGAAGGATGTGCTTACCAATCTCAGACTGTGCCACTGTCACTAGCAGTTTTCTTTCGCCGTTGGATGCTTATTCAGGAACAATTCAACGGTACTGCACTCTGGAGAACAAAGAGAGGGGCAGGCTGGGTTTGGGTTCAGTGACTTGATGAGTTACAGTTCCTCCAGTTTCTCTTTCATTTTTGCACAAATCCAATGTCTGATTACAGGGTAATCTGGAAATCTACTTTTAAGATGATCCCTTTACAAGGGCGGTTAACAGCAGCTTGACAAGTTGTGCCCATGTGCCAAATTACCCAAGGGTCTGTAAGATCCCCTTGTCTTCACTTACGCAGCTGGGACCCCTCCTTGGCCATCGCAGCCACTGCATCCTCATGGCTCTCAAAATGCACATCTGCTTCTCCTGTGGCATCTCCATTGGAGTTGTATTCTATCAGGATCCTTGTGGGCTTCAGCGGAGCAAAAAACTGGAAAGGAGTTTTGCAAGGAAGAAAGAGAATAAGAACGTGCCCCATTAAAAAAAGAAGTGCTGTTTCTACTTATAAAGCCTGTCTAGCTGTGGGGCAAACTGAGCTCTCGAGCAGCAGAAGGCCCCCCTTTCTCCATCCAGGTGAAGCTGGGGCACACCCATGTCACCTGTCCCACCCTCTGCAAGCTCCTGGCAGAGTAATGCTTGACAGAAACAAAACTGCACCCAGCACACATGTTCTGTAGATGCAATGTCATAAAATGAAGGGACATTCACTCAGAGACACTGCTTTGCTATTAAAATCTATAAAACCGAGAATAAAATAATCCTGAAATTCATTTTTGTACTATCAGCTACTCTGAAACATAGATAAGATTATAAATGGCTACTTGAGCCAAAGTGACAGAGACATTAGGACAGCCCCACAAGCTTTAATCCATTGGTATTTAGAGAGACAACTACAGTGTAACCCACACTGAACTCGAGTTCTCGAACACATTCAGCCTGAAGCCATGCAGCACTGAGGACTAAGAACAACATGGATAAATTGAACATTTTATACCACTTATAGGATCATAGGAATCACAGGATAGGTTGGGCTGGAAGGGACCTTAAAGCTCGAAGGGGCATGGCCATCTGTGACAATTAATCAAGGGTTTCCATTGGTAATGACTACCAAATGTCATTCATAGCTTTAATGTTACTTACATTTATAATATCTTGGGCACTAGCTTGGGTAGGGGAACACTTCATATGAACAAAGTGCAGTGGTGATGAGACATTCCCAGATTGTACAACATGCCCGGAGCTTTCCATTCCTTCCCTGCACAATTCTGTGGAATGGAGGAAAAAAACCCATCATAAATGCTGGCAATGATGACCAACCTCATGAGAAAGCTGTAAACATGTGAGGTCATGCTTACAGCAGACAATCAGGGTAAGAAACGGGCCTCAGAGAACACACACAACAGGGGGGTACTCACTATTTCCTCTTTCAGCATTGGAGCCGCCCATGTCACTCGATTCCCTTTCTTCAGAAATGTATTCATGTTCTCTTTTCACTCTGTGGTAGGTCACTGGCTGCCTGTCATAAGGCAAATGCTTTTGCATTTGATGCTTCCTACTGACATACACTTCTATGTATCTGGAATGCAAAGGAAAAGATTACATGGCACATCTTGCACCTCCGCAGAGAACTCAAGTTTTTGAGAAAGCACCTTCAGGATGTTATCCCATCCCAACTCTGCTCACGTATGAGGTGTGAAAGCCATGGTATGGCAAGCAATGGGTTTGATGAATTTGTGTTTATGAAAGCTCTTTTCAACTTGCAGTGACAACCACAGGCTTACTTCCTCTGAAAGATGTTTTCTTTCAGTAGTATGCATCCTTTTATGTGAACCTATTTCCCCCTCACTGCACATCTGCAAACTGCACTTTCCAATTTCTACAAACCCCAAATTAAAACCCCACCCAACTCCAAACAAGGCAACAGGCAGGCACAGAAGATGCACAGGGTCATATTAAATGCTTCAGTGGAACTCTTAAGATGTTACAGATTGCGCTGAAATTGATGGGATAAAATGTAATGTAAGTGAAAGTCCTGGGTATAATACACCAATGTGTAATGCAACACTAAGGGACCCACTTACACCACAGAAAGGAAAACAGATAAAAAATAAACCAGCCAACCAGCCCTTATTCATAAGTTTCATCCAAGTATAAGGCTAGTTATTTATGTTTCCAGCTGCCTATCCCAGAAGCCCTGAACTTAGAGCTGCCTGTGCTCATCTTTCAGAGCTGGGGACAGTTACCTGCCAGGCTGCACAAAAAATTTAACTGCTATTCTGAAGCGATTTCCACAACATTGGAGGAATAACGTGATGAAGAGGAGAATATGGGCATCCAGGTGAGGAGGCTTCCCTCCCTGCCTTGAGTAAGGAAAGTAACCCCACGTGCAGGCTGACAGAGGCCCCAGCTCAGCACTGTGTGCAGCTGAAGGCCATTTCTGGATAAAACTGTTAGCTCAGGAAGAAGAGTAAATTCAAGTTGACAGCAGTTTTGGCAACCACTCAGTTTCTTGGCTAATCCCCTAGCACCAAAGCTGTATAAGCTCGGGTGGGTGAGTAACATCAGCTCTTGTTTGAGCATGACCAAAAAAAATGGCAGATTGAGAATTCATTAATTTCTAGTGGAGAGCAGGGAAGTACAGTAGCTAATTCAATTACTGGGCACACCTACAGAGCAGCTGTTCTCTTTTAATATGGAGGGGAGGCACAAACACACAGAAGAGCAGCCTGGAACAGGAAGCAGGGTAACAGAAGAAAGGAAATAAGTGTTGTGTGGAAGTGGGAAAGTTGAGAAGTTTTTTGTTATGTTAAAAGACGGATCTTAGTGCCTTAAAGAAGATTCAGCAGGGTAAAAGCAATCTTATTGAGGTTTCTGAGTGTAGCTGTGGAGGTATTTAAAGGAAGCAAAAATCATGGAACTTGATTTACTGGTGGACTTGGCACTATTTAGGTTAACAGCTAGAACCAATGTTCTTTAAAGTCTTCTCCAACCTAAATGATTGTGGTTCTGGGGAAAAGCGATATACAGAATCACAGAATCATAGAATGGTTAGGGTTGGAAAGGACCTTAAGATCATCAAGTTCCAACCCCCTGCCATGGGCAGGGACACCTCGCACTAGACCATGTCGCCCAAGGCTCTGTCCAACCTGGCCTTGGACACCACCAGGGATGGAGCATTCACAACTTCCCTGGGCAACCCATTCCAGTGCCTCACCACCCTTAAGTTAAGAACTTCCTCCTTATGTCCAATCTAAACTTCCCCTGTTTAAGTTTTAACCCATTACCCCTTCTCCTATCACTACAGTCCCTAATGAAGAGTCCCTCCCCAGCATCCCTATATGCCCCCTTCGGATACACTTCTCCTTGAGAAAAGATGGGCTCTTGGGAGGTGTTTGGCACAGGGGCTCAGTGCTCTGGAAGAAAATTATTAAATATGGATTCCTGAGGAAGAACAGCCTAGGTGGATGTGGTCACCATAGAGGCCAACAACTGTATGGTGTTAGCCAGCAGTCAAGGTTGGGAATGGATTCAAGCTAGAGGTAAGTGGTAAACTGTGCTTCATACAACATACTCTCCAAATGGAGACACTGACTGTGCCTGGTACTAAAGACAATGGTTGCCAAAAGCGCTGAACCTAGGTAATCTGGTGGAAATCTGGTGAGAGCAAATGTCTGCAGGAAGGGCAGGATCCCCATGCACTTGTGACTGGGCAGGCGGGTTAGTGTTCGTAGCTCTGAGTGCTGTCAAACCATTGTTGTTGTGATGAGGCTGCCTTCAGGAATACTTGAAAAGAACGAATGTTTTCTCAGAGGCCCCAAATTCCCCGAAGCTACAAGTGCTGAAGGGACATCTGCAGACACAGAGGCCTGCAAAAGGCTCTTTTCTTCAATTTTCTCACTGTTCTAAAGATTACATGACCAAAAGAGGTAATACTTGGGTTATCCAAAGGTAAATACTGAGTATTTTGAATACTTGAGTATTTCAGAGTCCTAAAACATTTCTATTTAAATAAGGCACAAAGTAACACTCTGACACAACTATGACAAAGGTTTAGTTATGATTTCTACTGAAACATGAACCTAAAGTTGAGTTCGGTTTAGGAGTAATAAAGGCAGAAGCTTTCTTAATAAATATGGGGTAGCTGAAGATTACCTGTTGCACCTGGTAATGAGCAAGCTGTAAGTCACACAGCATGCTTCATACCATGCTCTCATACCCCCACAAACCCCAGTGAGGTACCTACCTATTTCCCATATATTCCCTGTGTCGTAGCAGGGCTTTAGCTGCCATATCAGGAGCTGCAAACTGCACAAAAGCCTCTCCTGTTCTTCTTTCTCCCCGGTAAACGAAAACTATGTCAGTTATTTTCAAGCCTATAGAAGAATGGGGAGAAAAAGGCATTTACCTTGTCAGGAACTTGTGCTCAGGGAGGCATCTTTTTTCCTTACTCTTCTACAAGTTTTTTGAGGAGCTAATAAGGCAGTTACATAGGTGTGCAATGAGTGCTCATGCTGGCCTACATAGCTTTTTTAAACTTCTAGTTACTCAAGTTTATTTGCTTGGTTTGCTAGTTTTCACATAAGCTTGATTGCCAATAATAACTGACCTGAGGCTTCAAATAGCAATGAAAATACCTAGTGAATCCAATTTCTAGACAACAGAGACATCCACAGCACAAAAGTTCCTGGAATAGTTTTGTATGGTGGGTTTTTTCCCGTGTCTTCAAAATTGAGCTCAAATTCACTGAACTTCAACTTCTGTGCTTTTGTAAAACATCTTGGGAAGCCTGTAATCCAGTAGGTAACTGTATCTGATATGATACAGGGCACACGCTGGGCTAGGCTACTGCACTTATTTTCTTCAGGAATGCTTCAGTGTACCTCACTGCAGCTCGTTCTTTTCTCAAAGGGTCTCTCTAAGATCCCAAAGAAATGGAAATACCCACTTCACAATGCTGCCCTAGTCACTGTGATCACTCTGCTACTATATGCCTCCAAACATTGAACTACTTATTATCAGCTGACAAATTTTCTGTCAGTGGCCTCTGCTTTTGGTATGATCATGGTTACTATGAACCATGCTGTATGACTCTGTGTGCATGCCTACATGGAGTAGGAAGTGGTGAGGGAAGAACTGGCTTTGGTTTAGTCTACAACTTAGTTTACCTAGAGAAATGTCCAGCTATTTTGCAAAATCTAGAAAGGATACTTGCTAGACAAATGCAGGCAGCAACCACCTGGATTGGTCAAACACCAAGTGTGGTACATGACCACATGCACACATGCTGTGCGACACCTGCTCAGTTGAGAACTGGTGCAGTCAACTTCCACAACTGCCGTTAAGCTACTAATACTAAAAAACTCAAAACATTGCTGTTAACATGGCATATGTGACCCAGCTGTCATGATTATACAGCTGTGAATACTCCATGTTGTATTCACTTGTACTATAATGATAATACAGGCATTTTTTGCTGCTCTTAATGTTGCTAACTTATCTGCTAGCATAAATACAATTGCAGACAATAGGATCTAGGTTCCTCTCTTTCCTTCCCCTGGATTCAGAAGAGTGCTGCAAGTACTGATCTTAGGTTAGCCACATGCTGTTCAGAAAGGTTTAGTTACTTCTAGCTGCAGGAGGACAGCAACTCCTCATAGCTTTTAAGCTGTTCAAGCTTGTGTGTGCTTTTGCTTTTCTCACTTAGAGGAATAACAGCATCAACTTAGAGAAGTAAATACCTCACAACTTATCACAGAGTAGGCTACATTACCTGAGAAAAAATACACGATATCGTCCTCAGTGGAGTTGAAGGGAAGGCCTCTGAGCAGTACAACTCCATCATTAATGGCTTGTGACTCATCCCGCAGATTCTGTAGTAAGCTCTCTACATCACTATCGTGTACTTCAAAAACTACAAGGAACACAGGCACAAAACATGTTTTCCCTCACAGTACTCAGGTGGCATTCTGCAAAACTTCCTGTTTCTTCCCCCACCCCATACTCTATGGTCCTGCAATGGTGCCACTTTGTTTTTCACATCCAGCCCAGGAATTTAGGTACAAATGGTGCCCTGCTGGCTAATTTACTGCTCAGTTTCACATCCTGCATTTCTCCACACTCACACCAGCCCACTTTATTATTCAAGCAGTTCTTAGTCACTTTGAGTTTACAATGTAACTTGTGCTGTTGCAAACCCACCTTTCACATAGCGGGGGCCCATGTACCTCAGGTGCTTTTGCAAGGCTCTCTGGACATCTGCTTTTGACTCCAGCTCGATCAAGGCATCCCCTCTGCGTCTCCCATCCCTGTTTAAGAGGAAGTGTATGCCGTTCTCACCATTTCGAATTCTACAGCCTAGAAATCAAGGAACACATGATACAGGAACATACACAACTACATCAAACATGGAGCCTTTTGATCACAGATGAAAACTGAATATGCTGCATAAAGCTAACCCCCTCAGCAGTGCAAAACACTGTCTTGAAACAAAGGTTAGAACTTTCCTACTTCTGATCTTAACTCTAAGGCACCATGCTTATCATGGCTAAGAAAGTGATATCCATTAGCTTCCACAGTTGTATATCTGGATAAGATATAGTCTCATATTGTTGCTAAACTGAACTGTTTGATTTATATGAAATCAAGAACAAACACTATAGGCTTTCAGTCTCTACAGCTATGCTCTGCCTGCTGTATGTTCCTATCCCCAAGACCTTAAATGGACCTAATTTAGTTAGGCAGATTATGAAACCATTGGAAAAACTTGCATCTGGCCTCCAGAAGGATGCATCATACAATAGTATAGACAGATCAGTCCTGCGAGGGTATGCACAAGCCTATTAATTAGAACTGGAAAGCAATACTGAAGTTTAAACTAGCATGTAAAACCCACTCCAGCTTGTTTACAAGAGGAAAATTGAGGGGTGAAGCCAACTACAATTGCCTTTAAAGGAACCACTTCAAACTGGATTGCCTTTACTGTGGAGACATCGATTAGGAAGGAAAGACTTGCCAATTAAATATAAAATGCCATGAGGATGAGCTTTGAAGTTGATTGTTTTATATGCGTAAATCATAAATAATTTGGCAGCAATAATAAAACCTCTTTCTCTGGATAATAATCTTCAAATTTTTTTCAGTTAACTTCATTAACTACTGAGTGCACTACAGTGAACAGTTACAAGGAGAATTAAGTCCCATACTATCAAAAAAAGTGAGCACATCTTCCTCGGTGCAAGAGAATGGGAATCCTTGTGCCCTGATGAGAAAGACGTCGTTTTCTGCCTTGGGTGACTCCTGTTCTTCCTCTGAAAGGTGACCTTGGTGGGACGGTGCATCTGTAACCTGTCACCAAAAAGAAACAAATTCCAGATTAGGAAGGAGGAACGTGCAGCTGTCAGCAGCGGTACCCGGCTCCGCGCCCGTTTAGCTGGTGCACTGCAATGGGGCAGTGAGGTGGGGGGGGGGGGGGGGGGAAGGGAGGCGAAAGGACAAGCCTGCGGCGCACATGGCGCACGCAGCCGCCGCCTCCCGTTTAAAAGGCTCTCGCTCCTGTCCACAGCCTCACTGCCGCGCCGCGGGCATCCCAGGGCGGTCGGGGCTAGGACCGGTTCGGTGCGGCCACTCCGACTGCCCCGAACGCCGCGGTCCCCCCAGCTTCGTCCCGCGCTCCCTCCCGGCGAGCTCCCGCCGGCCGCCGCCATTTTAGTCCCGATCCTGGCGGGCTGTACCTGACTGCAACTGCGGACGGCAGCACGGAGCGCAGCGGGAGCCCGCGGCGCGCCCAGTCCCAGGGCAAGAGCGGCAGCGCCGCTGGGGAGTCTGCGGGCGGACGACGAGAGCAGGCAGGGCAGCAGCGGAGAGCACCGGCCCAGCACCAGGGCGGCCAGGCCGCGCCGTGCAACAGCGGCGGCCATAGCCGAGGGGCGGGGGCTCGGGGGCTCCGCCTCCCCTTCCCAGGAGGCGCCGGTGGTGCCGGGCGGAGCAGGGGGGGGTGGGGGGGAGGTGCCTTCTCGCCTAGTTTCGCTTCCCAGCAGGTGGAGGGGGTCGTGTCCTGCCGCTGCCGGTGCTTCGCGCCCGTGGCCTCCATTCACCCGTCTGGGCAGGCCCCGGCGGCTGCTGTTGCCCGACTCGGAGGGCTTCAGGCGTGAAAGGAGGGAGCGAAACCGTGGCCTCAGCGCGGGGGTTGGCGGTGAAGTAGTCTTCTGCCCTGTGGCGTGCGGCGGCGGGCGTTCAGTGGTATGCGCCTTGTCTAACACGGGTGAATAGAGAAACGTGGTTCAGGGATTCACAAATTACTACTGGCTTATGCTCATGTAGAGTCTCTGTCACCACTAACATTGTTTGATATAAATGTATCTTTGTGAAACCAAACACGAAGGGAAAAAAAAAAATCCACGGTATTTTTGCAACATAGTTTCAAGTCATATTGACCACCACAACCCTTTTGCACCCCTTCCCTGTAGACTTAAGAGAATTGATTTTCTACCCCTTGCTCCCATCCTAGTTTAGCAGCCTGTGAGTCAGTACTGGTGAAACCTGTTTGTGAGAAACACATGCCTTCCAGGTGATCTGGAAACAGTCCTGTTGTACTGCTGCACTGAAGAGGGATTGGAGGGAAGAGCCAGCACCAGCTTACCAGGCAAGGTAGGCCATGCTGAACCAGGAAGAGTATTTAGGATGAAGCAAAATGAGCAGGAAGAGAAAAGACAACCCCCTAAAACCCACACCAAAACAACACTGGAGGAAACCAAGGGAGAATAGGGAGGTTCAGATCCAGGGTATTTAGGCAGGTGACAGTCATGACAGGGATAATTTTCCTCTTCTGTTGTACTCATCTTGGGATCACCAAGAGGGAGTTACCATCTTAAGCCACTGCAGACTATCACTCAAAATACGGTCTTGGGTTTTTGAGCAGAAGGCTTTCAGCCTGTAGTAGTGCCAGTCCATTAATTTATCTGAAACCTGGAATGTTTCTTTCTTATCAATGTTTTGAAAATGTTAACAAGCTATTTTGTCACCTTGTTGCTGGCTTTAGCTTTTATGAACAAAGCTTGTAACAAAGTTCCATACACAGACTATTACCTTGAAAACAGCACAGTCTCTTGAGAATAGCACTCTGAACTCACGAATTTTCAAGGTAAATCAGTTTTTATACACATTTTCAAAGGAATGTTGACCTCAGTGCTCAAGCGGTTCACATTCCAGTTTTTCATAGTCTACATGTCAGATTTCTCTTCAAAACCTTCCTTAAATAAGCAAGCAAATTTTGTAGAGCAAAAATTGAGATAACTATAGGAATTCATCTTGAGCACTTTATCTAGATTGGCTTTCACACTGTAAGTTTAACAGATCCCTGAATCTTATGGACTGAGGGAATGTTATGCACATTCCTCTCGTGAACAAAGCAGGGTGCAAGGAAGAGTCCCTTTAAGAGATGCTTTCTTCCATCCATTTTTCATTCAATATATTTGCTTCCCAAATACAGTAAAATATATCCCACTGCTGTTTGTCTTGCAGCTTGTCAGTGTGTATGAATTTACCTTTAGAGAGCAGCATTTTGTTGGGTATCTGCACTGAAGTTTTCCAGAAATTTCAGAGCTTCCTTGGCAAATATGAGGGATGAAAGTCTCTGCACCTACGATCAGGGGAAAAAATAAATTAAAAAATCACCCAGGGACAATAGAATTTGCATTTTTTTCTCGACAGAACTAGTATTAGATGAAGTCTACTTATGAGAGGAAATTTGTTAATATAAGTAGAAATAAAAAACCTCAGGCGATGTCCCTCCATTCTGCTGCTGACCAGGAAGCTGGATTTATCTGCCTTGGGAGATGCCTTATTCAATACCTAATGTTAAACTGGTTATTGTTAAAAATAATTTAATACTGGCTGTGCTTTAGTTTGATCAGAGGAAAAAGAAAAAGCTTCTGAGTTGATACTAAAGCAATTACTGATCTTATATTGGGAAACATTACTTACCACTTTGTTTAATCTCTCATCAAAAAAAATTGACTTAATATTTTTGTTGTAGTATTTCCAAAATCGCTCATTTAGCTTTAAGCCACTCGAGCAATGAGCCTTCCATCCTTTTCTATGAAAGATGAGCTTGTTACACAACTGCTCATCTGTGGCTATCAGCATTCAGCAGGAGATAGCATGCTTAACTTGAGTGAGCCCACCAACTCTGGGAAACAGAAAGAAGAGCAGAATTTGTCTGCACTATAAACACTGCAGAGATTTGTGGAGCAGGTCCTATACCAATAATATATTTCTGAGACATTATTCCTAAAGTGTATGAAAATTGTAGCAGGAATTATAACATCTGAGCACCATAACAGCTGTGAAGGTAACAGAGGACAAATTTATTACTCTTTGTACAGTCCAGCAATCACAGAGCTGCTGAGTTGTTCCATCCCTGCTCCAGAACTACAATGACTCAGGACCACTGTATAATAACTTCATAGTTCCTGTAATTTCTTCATGCTCTGCACTTTTTGTAGAGAACAATTACAAGTACATACCACAATATTGACATTATATTAATACTTAAATGTTTCACTTGGTCATAAGTCAAATCCTTAATGCACAAACAAGTATTGAATTAAGATATTGATAGATGCTATCAGTTTAATCTAGAGTGTGGAGAGAATACTTAGAGAGCTTAATAATTACATACTGTATTATTTACATTTTGTAAACATTTTTGTTTCTTTTTTTTGTTGTTGGGTCTTTTTTGGGGGTTCTTTTTTTACTCCTGGTAACATGCACACCTAGTTTTCTGACCTTAATTTGTGAACTTTTTTTCAGCTGGAATGTTCTGTGCTTACCGAGCTGTGCTGCAAAAGCTGGAAACTTCAAGACCAAAGCACTTTGTCAGCTGGAGGGCCCTTTTGGAGTAATTCTCTTTAAGCTCTAGTGTAATGGATAAACCAAAGTGACAGACATGAGGCCACGGGTGCATTCACAGTGCCTTCACTGGAGCAACCAAGTGGTTTTACGTAAGTCGGCAGCATGCTGCATGTCCCTTCTATCAGCAGTGTCCGAAGCAAGTGCTCTGTGTGACCCTGATCCATCCCGAAGACACCAATATTAATGTCAGACATAAAACGTGCACATTATTTAACCCATCCTTCTGACAGTTGCCCAGGCCAAGTATTTCCTAGTAACTGATGCAGCAACAGACATTTAATTTTACCTTGCCACTAACATAAAACATTCTGTGGGTAGAAGGAAGCGTTATGGGTGGGAACAGAGAACAGAGGATATTCATGTTCCAACATGAATGTGCCAGAGAAATCAGCAATTTTGGGTTTTTTTTGAGTAAGAATTACGTGGACAACTTAGTCTGACAGCCTCTGTTAAAAAGTACACCAAGACCCATTTCATGCTTGCTTTTACTAATACAGCCGAAAGGAAAATTGCAAACGTCATGAAACGCTTTTTAATTACGCCTTTGCTACCTAGTTGAAACACTTGATTTTAAAAGTGTCCTAAAGCCAGTCATGTAATTTTAATTTGCTTAGAAATGCACTGACCTGGCTTTCTGACTTGGTCTGAAGGACAGAGACAGAAAAGCAGAAAATGCAGTTTCAGCATTTAAAAACATGAGACAAGCAGATGACTGTCATTTGCCACATAAGGCGTTATAGCTGAAACCCCTTAGGAGCCACACAGAAACTTAATGCTGTGTGTGAGATTTTGCGTGTTTTTCTCTGCCCTACCTGCAGCTTTGTGGGGTTGCTGGGCCTCACAGAATCCCCTTGGGGCATGAGGGAATCTCTGTGGGTTGTCCTGCCTGTCCTGTCCCTTATCTGAAATCCAGCTGGCTTTTTATTGACCTAAACAGAGGCAGATCTTTCTGTGAAATTACACCCTGGGACTGTGATTTTTGCCATAAAGACGAAGCACTTGGATATGGCTAAGGCTACAGTGGAATGTGTGGTCCTCATCTGATACAAATACACTGTATTTTGAAGCATTCTGGGTGCTGCTGCCTGTCTTTCCCCTGGAACGTATAAACTGACCAAGTCAAACCTCAAAATTAAGAGCGTTGTTCCTGGTTTGGGAATGGGAGGTGGGGATTCCCAGAGGACAATCCCCAAACCCCCAAAACATAACAGGTATCTGTCATCTGGTGTCAAGTGGGCTGCCAGACATCTTTTGTGAGGCACTGCACACCCTCTGTTTGTGCTTCAGTGGGAGGACATGGAATTTTTAACCATGCTCACACAAGGTGAGGTGGTTCAGGGTGAAGGACTGTCCAGTGTTTGTAAGAAAAATTGGTTTTATTTTTTTTTTAACCTCAGTAGTTTGCCCATATCCTCACTTTGGGGGTGGGTTCTTTCTTAGCTGACTGCTTGCCCTAGCCAGCTGCATTAAAACTTGCTCACAAACCAAACATTTGTTTGAAATATCAGAAGTCATTTTGACATGTTGCTTATAAAAATGGTCAGGCTATTGAGTGAGGAGGGCAGAAATACTGGTTAAAATATTTGTTAGTGACTGTGGTGGTTATCTCTGGGTTGGGTGCCTGAACCCCTTTGCCAGGTAGCTGAAGAAGGTGGATAGAGAGCCTGAAGAAGCCTGGATGCCATAAATAATGAAATTGTAATGTGTTTTGCGTCCCTGGGTTGACATGTTGAAGCAAACTGCCCTGTTCTTGTCCACCCCAGGCTTGATCCACAGGAAGCAGTTTGAGATAGAAGAGTGGTGAATAATGGGAGGCTGCACTATTGTTCAGGCACTTTTTGTGGTTCCCCTGCGACATTTGGTAGGCAAGCACAGGGATTTTAGTGCCATGTCTACCTAAAAGCTGTCAGAGGCATTTTACACCAGTGCCCAAGAAGTATTGCCCAGTGACACTGGGACACTGGGACCTGGAGCAGTGCAGAGGTTTACCCAAGGAAGGTGGCCTTTGGGTCACCCAGGGCTGGGGGAAATGTTTCCAGGGAGCCCTGTGCTGCCCCAGGGTGCAGAAGCGAGTGAGGGCAGAGGGGCGACGCCTGACGAGAAGAAGGGACTGTTTCAACGGTAAGACGAGGGTGTCTGAGTGATCTGCAGTGCGGGGAGGACGCGGGGATACCCGCGGAGACGCCTCAGGAGACCTGTGCCTGGGGACTGGCGTGAACGGAGATCGGCGGAGGGCGGCGCGGGCCGCGGGGCCTGCTGGGGGCGATGGCTACCGGGCGGGCCGCGGGTGGTGGCGGCGGGGCTGTGTCCCCGCCCCGCGGCGCTCTCCCCGCACACGCCTGCCGTGCGTTGCCGCTGCCACTGGGAGCCGAATCGCGCCGCGCCGAGCCCAGGCAGCCGCCGGTTCCGCTCCGCCGCCATCGCCATGAGCTTCTTGTTGTGAGTAATTGTGGAGGGGGTCACGGCGGCGCCTGGGGAGGAGGCTGCCCCTGTTCTGGTCTCCTCTCCTGCTTGAGAAAGAGAAAAGGTTCCCTTCCTCCTTTGCTGCTCTGTCCCGTCCGGCAGGGCAGCCCGGCCGCCGAGGGGACGCGGCCGCCGCCCGCCAGCCCTCCCCGCCGCCCTGAGGGAGCGGGGTGGCCGCTCCCGCCGGCATGGCGCCCCTTTCCGCACCTCTCCTCCGCAATCCGTCCCGTTCCGGCGGCGGAGCAGCGCCTTGCCTGCTCTCTCCCTTTGTGCCCCAGTTCCCCGAGGGACCCCGGCCGCGCTAACGGCTATAACGGCCGCGTCCCTTCAGCCGCGGGGGCTGTGAGTTAACGGCCGCTCGGAGCCAGCCGGCGCCGCTCATGCGTTTGGAGGGCGGTGGCTGGTGGTGGAGCGGGGCCGCGACCTTCCTCACGGGCCGGGCGCTTCCGACAGCGGGGACGTGGATTTACGAGGCTTTTAGCTGAAGGCCGGAGGGACCTTCTCGGTGAGCGCTATGCTGCAAGCCGAAAGGGGTGTCACGGGAAAGGCGAGAGCAGCCTTCAGGGGAGAACACTCGTCTGCTGGAGTCTCCCTTTCTTTTTATTTAAAGCTATGTTTTTTTCGCCCATATCAAGGCCTGTGTGGGCAGAAGTTGCTGCCCGTAGTGCTACTTGCGGTAGATAAGTTAAAACTGGATCGCATTGATGCAGTTCTAGTGAGGAGCAGCGTTGAAAAGTTAATTCCAGGTTCAGGTAATGGTCGTGCTAATGAGTGATGGGGATCTGGCAGGGACAAGGGGGTAATTCTGGTAGGGACAAGGGATGAATTCTGGTAGGGACGGGGGAGTCTGCAGCGAACAGGGCAAGATGTGGTACAAACAGAGCAATCTGTTACGGACATAAAGGATCTGGTGTGGACAGAGTGATCTATTATGGGCATAGGGGGCCTGTAACAAACGGGGATCTGGTATGGACACAATGACCTGGTACAAACCCAGCGAGCGAGGAGTCGCTGGTAGGATGTGTGTTGCTAAGAAGGCATTTGTTTACTGCGGCACAAAAAAAGCTCCCTTAGGAGTTGGTGGTGATTTAGGTGTGCGAAGAGCCTTACATTTTGCAATTTTGCTTCGTGGACAGTAACTGAATGAATTTTGGTCCCTCCCCTTGGAACAAAGACGTGGTACTTGCGACAATTAACCTAAACCGGTTCAGTGACCTATTAATTAAACTGAAGATGTGCTCTAGGGAAAGAAGGGAAATCCAAGCAGCTGAAAAAGGCATCCTCGCAGAGCTGAGCTCCATTAAGGCCTTTGCCCTGCTGAGAGTTCTTGTGCAGTTGGAGTTACGTGCAAGCAGTTCGTGGGACCGTTGCCATCATATCTGACAGTTGTTAAAGGCTTATACTGATAACCAACAGATGTATATGTAGCTTGCTTTTGGAGAAGATACTTTATCTTGGGAACTGGAGTGTTCTGGTAAGTTGTGTTCTCATGGAGACAAATAACACTGATGCTGGCTTCCTTCTAAATCTCTCCACTGTGTGTATCTTTTAACTCTGCTGTACCAAACCAGCTCGCCTGTTGTTGTGTTACTCCATGAAGGGTTTTGAAAGACACCTATCAACTGCAGGGTGGAAGCTGCAAATGGGAGGTGGGTACAAATGACTGTCCATGAATTGAGTCTGTGAATTCTCCTAATGAGAAGCCCAGCTGTCCCTCTCCTTCATAATTCTCAGCTGCTGCAACGGAGAAGGGGGGGGTGTGTGTGTGACACACAGGATTTTGAGTACAGTGGTGTCCTAGGAGCCTGGTTTACACATCAGAGAGCTTCCATCTCTGTTGCATTTGTCTAACTGGTAACAGAAGTGCAAGAAACCCTCCACCCTCTGTCACAGGCAGTAATGAAATGCTTGTTTCTTTTTCCAGACCCTTCTGAAACCCAGGAAAGCAAACCTTGTCCCCCACTTCCATTGTTTGAAGTGGTCCTGCTGGATAAAATACAGGAATGGAAACCGAAGTTACTACATGGCAAAACTAGAAATGTTAGCCAGGCTGTTGTTGGTAGGGTGTTTTAGATGGCACCTAATTTGCTCGTCTGCAGTCTAGAAATGGATTTTTAAAGTTTAATTTTAAAATATGCCTGGTAGGCCTCAGGGAGATCAGGGAAACTTTCTATGTTACTGGCAAGTAGTGTTTGTTGTTGGTATGCATTTTGGCTTTTTTTTTGGGGGTGTTTGTTGTTGTTTTGTTTTTTAATGTATCCACAAAGTTAGCATCACCTTTTGACAAACTTGAATTTCGTGTTAACTTGGTAGAGTTATTCAAAGATAGTGGTTCAATATCTTTACAGTTTACAGATTTAGTAGCAAAAGCTTGTATTTTGAGCTGCAAGTTCCCTACATTTTCACAGTACCTTTTACATCCTTTTTCATAGTACTTTTTTCATCTCTTTTTTCAGCAGGAGTTTCCTCGGTATGGAGGTGGTAGAGTTGATTGTCCATGCTGTTCTCTCTGTGTTGGTGATGCTGTTGTCTTTTTGTGAACTGATTCCCAATTTCGAACAAACAATAAAGATGTGGCAGATGAAGATTGTCCTTCCACACTTCAGATCAGAAACGTTTTCTGAACTGCAGTGAACCTGTCGCACAGGTTTATTATCATCAGTAGCTGGGCTGTAGTTTGTCAGTTTGACACTCAAGTATGATACCCAAAGCCCTGCTCTGCTTGGAGGTTTGCTTGTTGTCAAATAACAGGGCGACTGTGCTTGGATAACACAGGGTGCCTGGGGCCCCCCTTGCAGCCCACTGCATAGTCCTTGTCCACTGACAAACCCATTGCTATTCTTTGCTGTTGCTAGGGACATATAAAGCTACAAGGGGGGGGGGGGGTAAAATCAAGGCAAACCATTGTCTTCTCGTTATGGATAACATTACAGAAAGACTGTCTTTTCAGACAAGTCACTGAATTAATACCGCTCGTTTTTGACAGCAGTTGTTATTTTCAGCACTGTTATATTCTGCTTCTGATCTGTTTATTCCTTTCTGAAAAGACTTTATAAACCTCTCCAATGGTTGAATAGGTTATCCTAAATCTTTTGTAGTCTGATTTCGTTTTTTTTTTTCCTTAAAAAAAGAAAAAAAGATTGGACTAGAAACTATTTTCAGTTCCCCCAAAACCCCAGTTTGATAAGTTCTCTCCAAAAGGAAATTACAGCATAGTTGCAGGTACTTGGGCTTCCATCTCCAAGGAAGAAATTAAAGATAGTTCTAGTAGGCGTGCCATATGGTTGCATGCTTGTGTTATCCTACACTGGCAAAACTAACATAAAAAAGAAGCTGTATAAAGAGCTTTTATTTTTAAAAGGAAAATATTAACTTTTATTATCGATGTTGTGAAAATGCCTTTTCTTAAAAAAAAAAAAACAAAACAAACCACAAACAAACCCCAAACCGTTTATGTATTAGTAAATCCCTCTCACAAAATTCTAGTGTATAGTGTTTTTAAAATGACATTCCTTTAAGTAGGAAGTTATGTATACTTTGGAAAGACTAGGAGCTGATGGAGTCAGCAAATAGGGGTTAGGACAAGTAGCTGTTCAGTGTGCATGTGTTGATGAATCAATGCAAAGTTAACTTGTACACCAAACTGGGGGAAGGATGTCCTGCTCTTCCTTCTCTGTCTCATCATATAGCACGTCAGAGCCTAGCAGCTTTTTCTGATGATGCATGTGTGTCCTCGGTTCAGCAGTAGCAGTCATTTTTCTCCTTCTTAGTAGCTGGTGCAGTGCTGTGGTTTTAACTTTCAGCCTGGGAACAGCGCTGATAACACCGATGTTTTTAGTTGTTGCTCAGTAATGTTTAGTCTGACCAAGGACTTTCTGAGCCTCATGCTCTGCCAGGAAGGAGGGGAAGCCGGGAGGAAGCAGAGACAGGACACCTGACCCAAACTAGCCAAAGGGGTATTCCATACCACAGCATGTCATGCCCAGTATATAAACGGGAGGGAGTCACCTGGAAGGACTAGATCACTGCTTGGGTTGGGCTGGGTATCGGTTGGTGGGTGGTGAGCGGTTGTATTCTTTCCCCTTGTTATTTCCTTTATCATTATTATTATTGGTAGTAGCAGCAGTGGTTTGTGTTATACCTTAGTTACTGGACTCTTCTTATCTCAACCCATGGGAGCTACATTCTTTCAATTCTCCTCCCCATCCCTCTGGGAACAGGGGGAGGAAGGGATGGAGTGAGCTAGGAAGGGACAGAGTGAGCAAGTGGCTGCATGGTTCTTGTTGCCTGCTGGACTTAAACCACGAGAATGTGGGTAATTTTTTCATAAATTTAATTAATATCACGCTTTGTGTGTGTATATACATATATATGTGCAGAAGGTACAATGGGATGTTGTTTTTTTTCCTTTCATCTCTTGCAGAGTAATACCAAAGTCAGAGCTGATGTGTTTGTTTTCAGATTGACAAGCATTGTGGCCTTCCTAATTTCCCAGTCTGCTCCTGCTCTTGAAGAGCATCATGGATGTTTGTTGTTTCACCTTCATCACCTTGGCTTGATGCTACTACGTAACAAATGAAAGCCATTTCTAAAGTAGGCACTGTTTTTGATCTTACTGTAGCTGGAGAGTAACCAAGTGCTTCATGAGTGCTCCTTCTTCTGATAAAAGCTGGAGATGTGGTATTTATCTCCTCTGTATCAAGGCCTCCCACAGAAGACTGTTAGGCACTTCTAAACTGGAATTTTGGTCATTGAAAATCAATGTGTAGGCACTTACTGTTAGAAATGGGAAATTTATGCTTGCTGAACATTCAGATGTCTTTCTCCCTCTATATTCATGTACTCTTTTTCTTCAGATTTGGCTTCATGAATGTAATCCTACTGTGCAGGCTGTATTCCTAGAGTAGAGATCAGGGTAGAGGCTTCTGACACATGATTCTATTACCTTGCTGTAAATCTGTTGTTTAACCAGTATCATTAGTGATACTTTTAGTTTCTTTTTTTGAAGAGCATTGAGAGTCAGAAGTCTCTTGAGTTTGCCTATGAGTAAATTACAGAGATAATTGCAGAGTTATTGCCAACTTTTAAAAGATTTTTTTCTTTTTCTGTAAGTCTTGGTTACAGTAGCTTTGAGGGAAGCAAAAGGATTCCTTAGAGGTAGAGGTTCTGTGGAATCAGCTCTGGCAGTGAACTTCACAGAAAGCAGTAATTATTTTTTTTTTCTTTTTTTCTTTTGGTAGCTGCCTCTAGCTTTCATTGGTAGTACTAGTCTTATAGTTGGGCTCAGTGATCTTAAGGGTCTTTTCCAATCTAAGTGATTCTAGGATTCATTGAATTAGTGACTGTCGAAATACATGCTCTTACCTGAAAATTGTTTTTCATGTTGTTGAAGCCCATCACTTCACTTGCAGTGTGAACTCCATGTTTCATTCCTGTTTTGAAATGCCTGCTGTCAAAAGATTTGTCCCTTGGCTGGCAGCTGGATTTGCTTTTAAGAAAGGGAGCATCAAGAAAGTTTTCCAAAAACCATAGCGATGAAAAGCTTCCACAGTGTTTGTGTTGCCCTTGTACTGCCTGTGGTACTCGATCACCTGTCACCCTGCTTCCCTTCTTTATCTTCCCCAAAGACCCCAAACCAGTTTGTTAGGGTGCAGCTTGCTGATGGGGTTAAACCTATTGAGGCACTTCTTATCCTTCTAATGAGCTTGTTGAAGAAGGCAGAGCAGCAGAGAACTATTAATTCCTTTTTGGT